CATACAGTTGATGTAATGAGACATACTTTGCATGCGTGTAGGATAGCAACTTATTTACTCTTAAGGAAGTGGCCTTAGTGTCAACTCATCAACAATAAAAACGGTTGAAAGATTCACAGCCTATGACCTAATCGCCCACCCTGAATGCTCCCACTCTCATCGGTTCTCAGATGCTTGAGCGGCGTTAAGCCTCCTTTTCATTACTCTGATCGGAGACTGTTTGGGGATGCCATGTGTTGTAGGTTTGGGTTGTGAAATGGTCAGGAGATGCCAGTGTAGCTATTGAGCCCTAAATTAATCTGTGCAGAACTTTTGAGTGCTACGTCCTTGTATGCCTGGTAGGGTTTCTCCGGGAGATTTTGAGGGCCACTGTGTGAATAAAAATAGATAGTAATGCCAATTGTTTATTCAAGAAAAAGCCTCACTGAGTCTCAAATGTAGATTAAAAACGAATTACTTCAGAACTGTTGTCCTTCCCCCGCATCTCCGATTAGCATGGTTAGCTACGTATGGTGTGAAATAAGTTCAACATACATACATTCTTCATCAGATGGGTACTGCAATTTGGTGTTTGGCTTAGTATGAGAGTGAACCGGTGAACGCAGAGAAAACTCACAACCAGTGGGGCTTTGAAATAATCGACCTGGCCACCCATGCTACATTTTGCAGCTTACTTTGAGGAAGCCAGAGAGAAACGTGGAGAAAACGCTCAACACATACCCAGGAGATGACACTCAAAACTCTGCACAGCTGGATTAAAACATCTATTGCTTCTGTTTTACATTTCCTGGCCCACGCTTACAACATCCATCAATCCCAGGCAGTCCCCATCTAAGTACTAACCAGGCTCAAACCTGCTTTAGCTCCCGAGATTGACATGAGGTCAGGCACGCGTTCAGGGTGACTTGTTTGGAGGTAAGATGCGGCTTGTTTGTAGGTAAGATGTGGCCAGGCAGTTGTGTTTGAATGGGGCCTGTTGAGTGTAATGAGTCAAGCTCCCAGAGGTGGTCGTAATTTAAGTTCTGTATGTAGGGCTATTCCTCCTGACCCATAGAGTGACCATGGAAATGATGGACCGATATTCGAGGGAGGGGAAGTAAACTGCTGTGATTGATTCCTTACTGACCAAGAGTTGGTCTGGCTGTAGTTCACTGTGAGTTCCTAGTGTTTAAACAGGTGGAAACCCATGCGTAGAATTATGTGCGTGTGCGATAATCATGCATTTTCGTATGCAAACGATAAACTGTCGCGTTTAGTGTCGCGGAGCAAACAAAACTGAAACCAAGACCGAGCAAACCGACAATGTCTGGAACCCGAGTTGTGATGCCGAGTCTTGGGGGTTGACAATCGATATTGGGGGAATCGTGATGGTGAATCATTTTGTGCACCCGTTCCGTTTGTTCCAGTGTCAGCTGTAACAGTGGAGAGACGCTGTACGTGGGGATGTGGGTTAAAAAAAATAGATCTGAGTCATCTGAGCCAGGGTTTTGAACGGGTGAGTTTTACATATTACTCATCTGCCTCGCGTCCTTTCCCCTCGGCTACAGCTCCGCCGCACAGTCAAACTAGGTCACCGGTTAGCACGGTTGGCAACATACATACATACATAGAAACCTCATATCCTATACCCTCGGATACAGCTCCTCCACACCGTGAAACTAAGCCTCTTCGTGTCCTATCCACTCGGCCTAAATATTTGATGTTTTGGAAGAATTTGAAATCCTCACCTTATTTTAATCTAATGTATGAGTCACCAGTCCACACGTCCTGTGACAGCATTAGCTCACTGTTTTGATGATGTCATAGCGCACTACGCTATGGAACTTGGTGACCTGCGTTCAATACCCATCCACAGCTAAATGGTAGCAAGTGATAGCTTCACAGGACCTGGGCTCACCACTTAACCATCCCGCACTGATCCGCGTGGTGAAGTATGGTCAAATGACCACCACGACTGACATGGCATGGGGAAGCCTTCATCCAGTTGCGAGTTTTTAAAGGGCTGTAAATTAACGACTAAATGATCAATTATTGCATGTGGCTTTGTGTGTAGCAACTCATAAGTCCATGTCCAGGTCTGAAAGCCAGACCACAGCCTCAGGGGAGGCTGAATGGATGATGTCTCCAACACCACCACGACTGACATGGCATGGGGAATGGATGATGTCTCCAATGCCGCCGCCGAATTTAGCCGAGGTTCACAACTGATTCACAATGTGGTTCACAGTCTGACCGTGATTTCCAGCCGCATACCACTGGGCTTCCTCTTATTTCTCCACTTGAATAGGAAATTTGGCCGGCCACATCTGGCAGTAATCACCAGCACCATCAGCCATGTTCGGTCCGCTGCTGGTCAAAGGCCTCTGCCATCTCTCACAAATCCTGTGGTATGGTAAACCACCTCGCGCCTGCACGTAAACTGATTTCATCACTCCTTCTCCTGAGGGGGACATCCTCACATTTCTTGAATGCCCCTCCGCTATTATCCTTGACCCGAGTTCGGCGACCTGCGACTCCACACCGCATGCGGCGGCTCTTTGGCTTCCCCCTTGCGGCTCTTTTGCTGCCCCCCCTTTGCGGACAGACGTTTTTTTCTTTAACAAACGTACATCTTCAACATAATTTAGCGTGAAGATAATTGATTAAATATGGCAATGAATGGGCCACTGTGGAATGTCCCGGTGACCACAAAATGTGCAAAAATTTAATAAATGCAGTTTATTCATCACCAATTTCGTTTACGTCAGAATTTGCCATTTGCTGTATACCTACTGCTGTGTTTGTGTACAAGTCGCTCTGTGTGTGATGCGGCTCTAGAACTATTTTGGTCAAAGACAACAACAAATGGCTTTTGGTTTGAAAGATTGCCGATCCCTGTCTTTGGCCATGTGACATGATTGTAATGATCATATTCAAAGAGGTAAATTCGCGAGATATATGTTGATCTGACGGCACCATTGTAACGGATTCGGATTTAAGAGCTTACAGTTTTTGGGGGTTTTTTTTGCTTGGGAATTTAGCACGATTTGCTCACGTGGGTTTTTCCCTCTTTGTGCCCTGTGTTAGCCAATGTATTTGCTCAGTAGCTTTAGCAGAAGGCGGGGTATTGACTTTTTGGGGGGTGTTTGGACATTTTACACTGTTTATTGTGGCTTGAAGTAGTCGGAATAATTTGCATAAATGAAGTTATTTTGAGTTTAATTCACGATGTAACACGATTTTTGTTCCTGGGTAGTCAGTGTTGTTTCCTAATTGCTTATGCCTCAAACGTACAGAAAATGTCTATTATTCCCCACACACTTTGCTTTTGTGACCAGGACTTTATGTGAAGGAAGGACACAAATGCACACCACGTTTTCTCATTGAAAATAGGTACATTTAAAAATATCACTGTCATTGAAAATAGGTCACAGGAGCAAAGTTTGTGGGGAATAATAGCCATTTTCTGTACTTTTGAGGCATAAGCAATTAGGAAACAACACTTACTACCCAGAAATTTTTTTTGTTACACAGTGATATATTAAGAGTAGTTTAAAGCCCTTTGTCAATGCACTGCTGGATGAAGGCCCTCCCACATGCTCACTGTAGGTCATGTGATTTGTTTGTCATTATGTTACCACACACTGATTAGAGCGTGCTGATGAAGGAGGTTGACTGTATAAGCTTCATGCTCTGACTGCTGAGCCACCGAGCCTCCTCTAAATACGTGGTCTCAATACACGACCTGACTTAATTACAGGTCTGTGTCTCCTGACCTCACACAAATGTGGGTCAGTTCTTGGTCAGTCGCCCTAAGGTGGTGCTAGAAACTCCACATTCCTATGTGGCGCCACGGTGGCGAACTGTTGACTACTTTTCTTACCTCCGATTAGCACGGGCGGCTATGTACGGTCTGAAAGATATGCAGCATACATACACAAGTATACGGGAGGTCGTGGGTTTGATCTCGGCTCTTGACACCTGTATATTTGGAGTTTGCATGTTCTCCCCGTGGGTTGCGTGGATTTTTCTCTGGGTTCTCCGGTTTTTTCCTTCGCGTTTGGCGAGTTTTATGTGAACTGGTCTTGGGCTCCCCACTTCGGGGAAAAAACGCGTCCTGACCAGCTTGGTGAAGTGTGGTCGAATAACGTCCACGGCCAACATGGCATGGGGAGATCTTCAGCCGGAGTTGGATTGACTCCGAACAGTTTGGCCATATTCACGACACTGGTCATGAGTATGGGCAGTCCTCAGGACCAGTTTATGTATCACTTACTACTGATCTTAGCCGTGGCTGGCAACTAAACTGGTTCTTGGAGCAGTATTACTAACCGCTATGACGTTTTAAAAGATCTTGAGACAACAAAAAGCGGTATACAGCACAGTGCCTGCATTCACTATTCTGGATAACACCCCTCTCCCCGCCCTCTGCTGCTATCAGTGTTGGGAGGGCACGCTGACATGTGTGTGTAGTAGCAGTAGGTGGTGCGATGGTTACTGCATTGTGCACTAAACCCAGCGACCCGAGTTCAATTCCCGGCCATAGCTACCGTCAGCGAAAAGTGATATATGGGCCCTATCTTGGACTCTCCATGGATAGAAGGTGAAGAGTGTACACCTTAGCACACTGAGAGGCAAAGGTAGCCTGGCGTGAAGCTGGCCACACCATCCCTCGTGTGCCACGCCAGCCTTAATTGGTGCTTTTTAACACCACTTTCCCCAAGAGTCTTTTAAAGGCTATATACAAAGAGGTAGGGGAGGACGGTTGTCTTTGCATTTGAGTGTGTATTGTTAAACCGTGCCATTATGTTTATTTTAATTAGATTACCGAAAGACAGTACAATTCCAGATCAGCTGATCTGCTCTCAGCCACTCACATTGGGACTTTGCACCCAGTCATGCAAATGAAAAGTGGGTTGTTACCAAAGGTGGCCAGCCAGTTGCGACCTGGTGTCCGATTGGCTGCCTGTGTGCTATAAGCAATGTGGTTTCGCAAGCAGAGTCAACAGAGTTGGACTGGCATGAGACTGGCTGCAGGGCTGATATGAGTTTTGTAGGGCTGGCGTGATAGTGATTAGAGATGCAGACTTGGTGTGAGTGCAGTCCTTGCTCAGTCAGTTATGTAATTTTTTGGTGCGGTTAATATGTTTTACTGTATGATGCTGTCAGTTTGAAGATTTTTTGTTTGTTAAATAGTTCAACCTAAAACATCACCCATGTTGTGCTTGGGTTACGACCGGCAAATGTAGCCCTCGGCATGAATATCTTAAGAGAATTTTGAATTTGGAGGCAACGCACAAGCCAGCGCAATAGTTTCTGTAAATTGACGGCTGTGTAGTTGTCGCGGTGAAGTTCAATTGACGGAACCTTGTGGTGGCCTTTGGTTCACTGTGCCAGAAAAAGTATAAGGTATGTTGATGAGGAAGCGGAGCAGCGTGGGTGTCCGTGTGGGTGGGACGTGAGCCGGCGTTACGATCACCTGGAGCCGGCAATCTTCATGAGTGCCTTCACCTCGCCGTCGTGAGATGCCGCCCACATCACTTCGCTGAGGAAGCACCGACTCACACCTGGAAGCTCTTTGGAACTCTCTCGCCTTGGTTCTTCGGACGCTGCAGTAGTTTTTCTAGAGCCACCGTCATGAAGGTGACCGTCTCCTGCCGGGCAGCCATGGACAGCATGATCGCGCAGTGGAGAAGGTATCCAGCCCCTGACACACACACACACCTCATTGTATGTGTGTGTGTGTGTGGGGAGCGGTAGTGCAATGGTGAGCGCGCTGCGCTACACTGCGCTACGAATCCGGCGAGCTGAATTCGATTCCTGCTTATGCCCAATATTGGTGACAAATATCTGAACTGATCCTGGGCCTCCCCCAGGTTGACTCAGCCTGAAATGAGTACCTGATGTGGTGTGTAAAGACATCGCCATTGAGGAGACAAAGGTGATCAGGTGTGGTGCTGGCCACCCACCCCTTCGTCTATTGTGCCAGTCTTCATAGGTGCTCTCTAACAGCACATGCCCCAACAGTCTGTGAAGGGTATAGTGGGGGATCTTTGTTTTTGAATATGCTGTAGGAAGTGTAGTGGTAGGCGCACTGGGCAGCTAACCTGGTAACCCCAATTCGATTTCTGCTCATGGCCAATATTGGTGACGAATATCTGAACTGGTCCTGGGCCTCCCCTCGGTTGACTCGGCCTTAAATGATTCCCTCCAGCAGTGTGTAACGATAGCACTAATGAGACGAAGGTGGCCGGGCGTGGTGCTGGCCGCTCATCCCCTCGTGGCGCCGTCTTGGCCTTAATTGGTGTCTCGCTCACAGCACTTGCCCCAACAGTCTGTTAAGGCTATATGGGGGGATCTTTGTCTTTGTGAGTATCAGTTATGGGCAGCGGTGGTAGGGTTGTGATAAGTGTATTGCACTGTGAACCGAGGCGAGGTGATCTTGATTCCGAACCATGGCTAACAACAGTGGTGTATATTAAAGCTGGTCCTTGGCCTCCCGTAGGTTGACTCAGCCTTAAATGAGTACCTGGTGCAATGTGTGAATCGTCGTCACTGAAAAATCAATGCGGCCGGGCATGGTGCCAGCTCCACCACCCCCCTAGTACTCCCGGCTAGATTTAATAGTTTCTCGCTTTCGAAACGTAACAAGAGTACAATAAAAGTAATTTGGATTAGATCACGTAAATATAAATGTGTTGTTAACCCACCACCACCCAACACAGACAAATTAGTAAGGTTTGTCACGTAAACAAAACATTCCAATTCGTGAGTACTTCAGCACACCGGTGTGGTGGAGAGTAAACCCGTAACATTTACAATTTGAGTACGACGTTCAGGTGGTAATTTTCAACCAGCTTCTTAGGGTGATTGTGCAGGAATTGTGAGAAAAATCCTCCAGTTTCCGATCTTAATTAGAGCGAGCATTTGACACAATGGGAGCCAAAGTGGTGGTGAAGGGTTGAGGCGCTCCCAAACCTTCGAGCGATGTGCAATGGCACGGTGGACCCGCGGAGGATTGGAGGAAGACTTGTATGATACATTGATACATTCTACCCACGAGCAAATGTGTGCGTGTGTGATTTTATGGACCTATTCCAACTTGTGGTCTCATCATAATTATTGAATAGTGGAGGATGCTTTGTATGGGCAATCTGTAGGCTGACGTTTCAGGAATTTTGCCTTCAGATTAGAGAGGAGCAAGAAGGACCAAATTTCCCAAAACTTCATCCTTTTCTATATTTATTTTCTGTTATTAGAGAAACGTGAATGAAAGGGTGGCGGCTGATGTGGCTTGGGGTTGTGCCTGTGTACCTCTGGCAAACGGCAGTGCCTTAATTGTTCATCATACAAAACCCACGACGACTCCCCGCCCCCTCCCCCCTGTGTTCGTTCATATCTCCCGTCATAAATAGATAATGAATACTCGTGAATAGATAATGGTCACTGTCAGGTGGACTTCGAGGAAAAGACGCCGCATTAACGTATTCACCGCATTACCGAGTCACATTTCTTTTGTGCGCATCACGCTTGCTTACCCCGGGAGGCCTCGTGGAGTCTCAAGGCTCTCTTTTTTTCAGGAGGGTCCTACCGCATCTTGACGGTCACGAGCGATGTTGCCACTGGAGCGTGCAATCCCAACGGAGTAATTTGTAGCTATTTTTTTTCAGCGTTCCGATGTTTTGGCCAATATCAGTTGCATTGTATATTTATTGTAGCTGTGGGAGGAAACCAAGGAGCCTGGAGGCAACCCATGCAGAACAGGGGGAGAACTTGCAAACTCCACACAGAAAAGGTTCCCGAGTTGGGAATCAAACCTAAGTCCTTCTTGCTGTCAGGCACAGGTGTTACCCAAGAAGTGCCACCCTGACACGTAATATATAGCCATTGTGTGTGAGTGATGTACGTGATCATGATGTTCTAGAATGATTAGAAAGTTAAACTTTGGTACAAATATAGGCGAGTATATTTTATAGTCAGAAATTTGGGCTTGCAAAAATGATGGCCCAGATATTTATTGATTGGTCTAACCCATAGTGTCCTATTTTGAATCTTGACACAACATATTTAAATGAATTGTATGAGGCGTTGACTTTTTTGCCTGTTCTGTTAACTGGCATTCATCTACAGGTGAAACGGACAAAATGTGGAAAATGAACAGAGGTTTTCGTCTTTTTTGAAAGCAGGTTAAAGCCCAATTTGTTTTAGAAAGGGACACAGATTAATTATGTTACTTATGGCCGGATTATTGTTTTTTCTTGTTGTTGTACTTACTCAGTAGTTTATGGATGTTTTTAATGTGAGTTGAAATAGCGCATGTGGGCACGAGCGAGTTAGCGCACAGTTACCATCTGCCCACGTGGGAATGTGTGGCGTGCATTTAAACCTTTTGGCCATGCCCTTTAAAACCTCTGCTGATCAACAACAAAAACAAATGATAAGTGGTGACGCAACATTTCACAAGGAAGACCCAGTTTAGGGCATATTAAGTACAGATATCCCTTGATTTACGAAAGGGATGCGTTCTTCAAAAAAACACTGAAAACAAACATTTGATAAATAAGAATGACTTCATTTAATACAACAAAATTTGGAATGTGTTACAGTTATTCGAACAATATTCCTAACCTAAAAATTTCCACATATTACTTTTCACGAAAAAAAACCCAATTGAATAATAATTTATTTAAAACAGATATAATTGACCTTTTCAGGGAGGTCACCGAAAGATGTGCACGTTGGAATGAGTTGAAAGGTGATGTGGAGGCGTTCCTGCTGCACTGTAGGGATACCTTGATCCTGTCACGGATGGATGATGACTCAGCCTCCCAGGTGCTTCTCGTTTGATCTCGTGGCGCGTGGCCGTAGTGAAATTTACATAATTTGTCAATTGCATGGACACAAAATTTAGTGAACTGAAATGTTCGTAAATCGAGGAATACCTGTATGTAATGATGCATCGATTCCAATTGATTCTTACGCTGCCGATACACGCATCAAATTGTGCTTGTGATCACGGATGATTTCCGATTCTTGCAAACGATACGGAAATGATACGTTGTATTGAGGCTTCCAGGACCTCCGATTAGCATGTTTGGCTGCGTACGGTGCGAGATAAGTTCCAACACACATACATACAACGGCCAATTTTCCTCATCTTCACCATAACAAGTGGCGTTTACCGCTAAGTGATGGTGATGTCACCATGGCTTTAGCGCCACTTACAGGCCACGCCTGTCGCTCGCATGTAGGCAAGCCGCGCGCTTGTTCACAAACACCTACGTGACTTTACCGGAAGAACTAAGAGTATGAATCCTTGCAGTCACGAAAGCTTCAAATCTAACATGCACCTCTATACCATCGCACGGTGCACGCAGACCCGTAACAACAATTCAATCAAACAATCTACACAGTGCCATATTAGAGCTTGTAAAAAGACACGGTACCGAATGTCCCAATAAGATCACTTAGAGCAATGTTGCTACGTAACTGCTTCATCTTAAAAAAAAAAAGTGCCAAGAAAAGTTTTGGCTTCTTGTATAGAGCCAAGTTGTTCTCCGTGGCGGAGCGGAAGTGGTGGTGGTTAGCTTACTGCGCTATGAACCCGCTGACCTGAGTTTGATCCCCAGCCACAACTAACATCAGTGGCGAGTGATATCTGAACCGGTCCTGCCCCCCCCACCCCTCGTACAAAAAACCACGCTAACCAGGATGGTGAAATAAGGTAAAACAAAGGTTTTGACATATCCTGGGGGAGGTATTCATCCAGCAGTAGCTTGACACAGTGCTGAAATTGTACTCTTGTGGGTTGGTGAAGGGGGTGAAACCCACGAACGGTTCAGATAACACTCGCCACTGATGATAGCCGAGAACAGGGATTGAACGCTGCTCATTTCAGAGTGCAGTTGCTTGATCCGCTGCGACACCGCTTCACCCCGTGTGATGTTATAGCACGCAGTGTCGTTACGGCCGCGTTGTGTGAACGTCAGAGCGTTCGAGCGGACATTGAGAACGCTGCCTCCCCTCGACTTTCTTGCACGCACGCTGTGGTCGTGGCACCATACAGATTCTCGCTGTGGTGGCACCATACAGTGACGCGGCACCGCGTCAACCCCGTGTCAACCCCGTGTCATGCTAGCACGCGGCGTTGTTACGGCCTGAGTTGTGTAAACGTGGGAGCGTACGAGCAAACACTGAGAACGCTGCCCTCCCCTCGACTCTCTTGCACGCACGCTGTGATCGTGGCACCACACAGATGCACGGGTGAGGCATCCGTACAGCCTCAACACTGAATCAGAATGCACCCCAGCACGTGGAGGGGAATGTGGAAGCTTCTAACTGCCTTTCAACTGGGAGCTGAGAGGTTAATTAGCAGCTTGTTAACGCTTTCTATCAATGGCTGAAAGCTTTCGCTCTCTGTATTCATCTGTCCGTAACGGGGTGTTTCAATAACTCTCTTTTGTTTATGAAATGTAGGCAGAGGCAAAGGCTAAAACCTGCATTACGAATTAAACTTTAGTATAAAGTTGTGTTATTATGTACTTACCCAATGGAAACACTGGTCAAAAAAGGAGTGCACAAAGCTTGGCAAGACGGTTGCCCAAATATTTGGCAAGAAAAATGGCTAAAATAATTTATCTTGCCCGCCAAGGCGATGATTTTACACGTTTTAGCTTTTGCCTCCCGTGTGACGTCATCTCATGTGCTATCACGTGCTTCGTGATGTCATCTTGTGAGGGTTTTTGACCTTTCGTTATTACCCCTAATTACATACCACCGAGGACTATTGGATATTGGAAAAACAGAATGCATATTTAATCATTATATTTCTCCTTTTTTTAATAATTGACAAGAATATTTAAAATGCTACCTTGCCATGCATTTTTTTTATTTTGACCAATAAAAAGCGGCACCCATTGTTTTTTCGAAAGACTGCAGCTGCCTTTAAGAATGCATTATCCCCGAATGGTGACATTTCAACATCTCGCTGAGTGGTGGGATAGGCGGGGGGGGGGGAAATTATTTTAAGCCTACTTGCGATGCGATATGAATATTGGGAACTTTGATTGTTTTTTGCCTATCGAATTAAAATGATGAGCTCTTTGCAGGAGATCACCAGTTGTCAGGAATTTACACCATTGGCTCAAGGCCATCTGTGCTTATAGTATGGGCCCATGTTTGTTTCAACAGAGGCATTTTCACGTTTGGCTTTCAACCCAAATTTGTGCACCAACATATCACTGCCAATGTTGTTTCACTGCATGCCAGAAATAGCAGAAATTCAGACGGAGGCCACGCGATGTGTCACAATGAGCAGGGTTCACACAGCAAGCAATTGCTCTCGACGTATGACATTACAATTACTAAGTTTTTTTAATATAGCGTCCTCAAGGTGTCGTGCGGAAGCAGTGGTCATGTTCATCTTCTAGAGATGAACCAGTCATAGGCAGAGGGTTAGAGGTGCTTCACTTTGCTCTGCACACTTAAGAGTAATGTGTTTGTGTCGTCGCAAGTTTGGAAATGGTTTTAATTAAACGTGGCACCAAATAAAGAGAGGGTCCTTGCCAATGAAATCTGGCAGTTCACCAGCATTGATTCCATCAAGCCTGACTACTGATGATGAGACACTGTGTGCCAAAACCAGTCCAGAGGTTTCCACTGAACCATTGCTGCTGAAATTATGCACTCCCAGAAGGCTGATGTTTTGTTATAAAAAAAAAAGTAGACAGAGACACGGGCTTAAACAAACCTGCGTCGCAGTCACCCGAGTGTCCAGTTCCTGATTAAGCATGCAGGTGGGGCTTCAGGACGAGCTTCTTGGGTGGACGATGCTACAAAACAACGTTGTTGTTGCCTTACAGTAAACCGGAGGTTATTTTAAGACATTTATAATTACAGAGTAGGCACGTAATTTTCTTCCCCATGACAATTTGATGAATTAGTCACGATTTGGGGTTGCGATTCGGTTTAAGAATAGATTTTTTCATTCTTGTTTTTAGCGTCTAGTTTATGTCTCTTGTATATTGTGCCTGCCTTTGCTCTGTCCACACATTAGCTTAAATGTAACATTACCATATCACTTACATACACATTTTATATATGCCTCACGCGTGATTTTACGCATGTATCACAAGCATATGATTCAGTTCTAGATTGTAATCGAATCAATACTTCGCTGCTCGAAATGAGTGACAAACGGTTACTCACCAGTGACTCACGGCCTACTCGTACCCGTACCCGGCCGCACCAGGGTCGCAAACGGGTACCCGTACCCGGCCGGGTACGGGTAGCTGGGTATCAGGTAGGGTACGGGTATCAGGTACCCGGTTGCAACCTCTGCCAGCTCAGGCGCTCTCACCTCCGGGCCACCTCCCACGTAATTCTGTAATTAAAACAAATCCCGATCAGCTGACCGGTGTCACTTTTTTTTTGCCGAGCAATGGGTTCTTCAATCTATCTGTGCGGAACTTTTGAGTGCTATCCCCCCCCTCCCCTCGCATGGTGACATATTTTATTTTCGCGAATGGAAATACGTGTCCGAACATATCACGTCATGGGCTCGCACACTTTAATATTTGATCAAATAATTAATCATTGCGTTGCTCAAAGTATTCACAATTTATGTACACTTTTCTCCTGTAGGGCTACTGTGGGTTGGAATGGAGATTTAAAATATATATATAACAGGAAGAATTTATTAACCTGTTGAAAATTTAATTTTAGTTGGAATGATAGCTTAGCTGCCATGGTGCATTAACAGTGTTTTGAAAATGTAACGCTTTGGGAATTTCGAAGCCAATATTATGATGTATAATTGTTTTTTGGGTAGGACCATGTAAACTCAATAAAACATTTTTTTCCATAAAACGTTACATCAAAAGAAAATTACAGTGACAAGTTTACTCGGTGTACCCACAGATAAAATAAATTACTACAGTTCAATAATTAGCCAAGTTTTTAACCTACGAAGAGTTGAACAACAACAGAAATATTCCTTTTATATTGTTAACGAAATATTTGTATCATGTATCACAACATAAAGTAAATATATTTTTTATGTTTTGCTACATAAAGCACGTGACCTGTTTGTAGATGTGGTTTCCTGCTGTAATATTAATGTGAATACTCAGTAGCACACTCGTGTGTGTGTACCAGTGCAATGGGGAGTGATGGCGCAGTGGTTAGCGCACTGCGCTAAGAACCCGGTGACCCAAGTTCGATTTCTGTTCATGGCCATTATCAGTGATGCATATTTTAACTGGTTATGGGCCTCCCCTAGGTCGAATCAGCCTTAAATTGGTACATAGCACCGGGGAGACAAAGGTGGCCGGGCATGGCATTCACCCTTCTCTGCCATGCCAGCCTTCATAAGTGCCCGCTAACAGCACTTACCCCAACAGTCTGTTAAAGTCTGTATGGAGAATCAGTACGATGGCAGTTACATTGTGATCCCAGTAACCTGGCCGTGAGGGTTTGCTTCCTTTCTGTGCATGCCACTTCTTTATTTCTATTTTTAAAAAATGTTCCGCCGGCGGTGACCAGGTGGCTCAGAGGTCGGAACGCTGAGCTGTCACCACTGAGATCCTGGGTACAAATTCAGACAGTCGCCTGTGATTCAAGTGTCGTAGTCAGCTGATGCGCCACGGTGATGAGATGTTATCTCTCTCGCCTGGTACACAGGAGGTCGTGGGTTCGATCTCGATCCTGACGCCTATATTTTGAATTTATCTGTTTCTCTCCCCATGGTCGCGTGGATTTTTCTTCTTTTCCTCCGGTTTTTCCCTCCGCATTTAGAAACGTGCTTTTGGAGTATTTGGCTGGTTATATAAATTTCCACGGGATAAGCCACTTCATTGAGCTATCGTTTGTGGCCAGGTCACTTCTGAAAAATAAGCTAATAGCTTAGTGGGCCTTACCTGGTTAATAACTTCATCGTTTCGTTTTAGTTTATGGCTTCTCTAACTTGGGGTGATGCACAATTATACGAGAGATCTGAAGAGCTTCTTTCACCTCCTGACATGACACCGATAGCACAATTGGGATAACGTTGGGAAAAACGATGTCATTTTCGATTAAATAACCTTCAACGACTATATTTTTATTGTGCCCGTCGGCAACTGGCAGGCAGCTGCCGGGGTAGTTTTAAAATGTAATGTTTTTTTGGTTTATGTCTCCAACTTTTGAGCAAGCCTTTGATCAATTTAGCCAGTTTTGAGCAGGGTAGGTCTATAATAGCAGCGCAACTTCACACTAAAGTTCAATGGATAATGTTTACGAGTGTTATCGTGACCCCCCCCCTCCCTCCTCGTTACAGATGGACAGGGCTAATACGTGAATGCGTTTAACCTTAGTTGTAAAGCAAGCATTCAATGTCATGACGGACGTTGCTATGCATTCACGCCGACCCGGTGTGCAGGCACATCCAGGACCCAGCGAGCCAGCGTCTGACGTGGAGCAAGCCGCCACTCAGCGTGCTGGTGATCAAGAAGATTGGCGACGCCAAGCTGTTGGACTTCTTCCGTGAGCTCTGTGGCTTCCTCATGGAGGTACCTACCTCGAAGATTCATCATCATCGTCGTCGTCATGTTCATATCAGTTTAACACGGAGGCTTTCGCGATCAATACTAGATCGCGTAAATATAAACTTGCCGTTAAACCTGCCACCACCCGACACAGCCAATTAATAAGGGTTTTCACGTAAACAAAACATGCCAATTCGTTACTAGTTCAGCACGCCGGTGTGTTGGAGATAAAAAAATAACCTCAATCCTGTTCATATCGTTGGCATCACTCCTTGATGCCACTCTCAATCATTGTGGACCAATCGCAAACAGTAAAGCTGATCTCCTATTTGAAGTGAGAAGCCACAAAGGGAGGATTTTATTACCGTTATTTACCTCTGCTCTTTACTTCTTCTGTCCGAGCGAGCGATAAAGTGCGTACGATAGCATGCATTTTAAAACACGGCTGGGTCGCTTCCTCTTATCCGCGCTACGGCTCGTATGTATGTATGTACCGTATGTTGAACTTCTTTCGCACCGTACTTAGCCAATCATGCTACTCGGAGGTGCGGAGGAAATACAACTAACTAACCACAAAAAGCATTTCTATCTAAATTAGTTTTCAATTTAAAAGGCTGTTTCAGTTAAAAAATAGGATGAATTTTCTAACACTTCCCGGCCACGAGACCTTATCCACTCAATTGCTGATATAAAGGGTGACTATCCTGCACCATTAGGTGGTCATAGGGCTGCAGAGCTATGTGATGGACAGCATAGGGCAGTGCAAAAAAATCCATTCTTGTGTTGTCCTATGTTCCAATATCTATGCTTCAACCCACAATGACCAGTGTGAAATATGGTGAAATAACCTCCATGGCCCACACGGTGCGAGGAGGCCCTCATTCAGCAGTAGATTGCGCAAAAAGACTGTAGGTGCGCATGCATGTTGATGGGATTGGCCAAACGTCGCGATGCAGGACCTTTCCAAAAAAGTGTCCTGAGACTCATTGAGGCTTAAATATTGACTTAAAACTTTCGTGACTGCAGGAATTCATATTCTTTGGTTCTTTCGGTAAAGTTACGTAGAAAGAAAAAAGAAAGTGAATAAAAATGTAAAATAATAAACAACAAAAAACCACCATTGGAACCTCCTTTGCCAGTAGCAAAATATGATAATTGTTTTTTTACCCTTTTATCTGACACCTTTTTTTACAAAGAGTCATATTTGCATTGACCACAATACCTGCGGTCGGAACGCAAAAAAAAAACTTTGTGTTTTTTTGTATGCATTGTGTTTTTTGTTTGTGTTCCGACCGCAGGTATTGTGGTCAATGCAAACATGACTCCTTGTAAAAAGGTGTCAGTTTTGTTGCCAGATAAAAGGGTAAACAAACAATGAACATCAAAAAACCACCGATGTAGACTGGAGCGTGGTTCTTAATCGGAGTGAGTGTACTGGCAGTGGGTCATAACTTGATTTGTGGGTATGTGGAGGAGTGAGGTGCAAATGATTGCCTGCCGGCCCTTTGATTGGTGTAGACCCACTGCGTTGGCATTGCTTTCTCCTACATTAACATTAGCTGCCCCGCCCATGCTGCTGACACACTTGGGCTACGCCCATCTCTAAACCTTTGGCAACAGTTTTCCTTTAGAGGCTAACCCCCTTTTTCCTCGTGACGACCGCTTGTGTTGCGATAAAAACGTCATGGTTTTTGTTTTCATTAATTTTTTTATTATATTTAAATTACTGAAAAACCAAGAATAAGTCAACATTACAGACTGCCAGTATGCTCACTCAGTTTAATGACCATTGCTATAGTCTACATCATAGACTGCCAATATGCTCACCAGCTTAAAAGCCAGGCTACAGTCTACATTATAAACTGCCAGTACACTCACCGAGGTTAAGAACCAGGCTACAGTCTACAATATAAACGGCCAGTACACTCACCCAGCTTAACCATTGCTACAGTCTACATTATAGACTGCCAGTACACTCACCAAACTTAATAACCAGGCTACAGTCTACATTATAGACTGCCAGTACACTCACCCAGCTTAACCATTGCTACAGTCTACATTATAGACTGCCAGTAGACTCCGATTAAGAACCAGGCTACAGTCTACATTAGTGGTTATTTGTTGTTTATTCTTTTTATTCACTTTAAAAAATATATATGTTTCTATCTACGTGACTTTACCGAAAGAACCAAATAATCATTGAGGCTTTCTTGGGAAAATAATTGGCATTATCATTATTGCTACGCTTTGCCATCTGCGCGTTCCGCGGTTGTCTGCGTCGACAGCTGTCCACATTATTTCGCCCGGGAGATGCTCGGGGACCGCCTAGGTCAAGTAGACGTGCAATCTCTCATGTGCTTAATTAGAGAGACTTAACCTCTTAGGGGCAGCTTTGTCTTAGGAAAATATTTAAATGGCTTGCAGGGAGGTGCTTTTGAAATTATTTCTGCACCGGCAGGTTCTCTCGTAGCTAAGGGCAACGATAATAACGTCGTCCTCCGAAGAGCAGGAGTGATGAGGATGACTTTGTGTGCAAGGAGCCGGATTGGATTGTGGCATCGCAGCACAATGAGATATGGTGACAGCTTTGGGGAAGGCCGTCATTCAGCAATGGATAGATAATGACCACTACAGATGATTATGATTTGTACAAGGAAGCCACGCTGAGCCTCAAGACTCTTTTTTTTGCAGGAGGGTCCTGCATTGTGATGTTTGGCCAATTTTATTCATGAGAGTTTGGTTTCACGTGGGAGGAAAACGGAGTAGTGTACCTGGAGAAAACCCACACATACTGTGTGATAACCAAGTGAGAGTCAAGTATTTATCAAGGGAGGCCTGGGTTTACAAACGTTAAAAGAGAGCAGATACAGTAAAAAAAACACAGCAGGTACAGTAAAAAGACCACAGTACAACATTTGCAAAATTTAAAAATATTAAATGCTAAAAAATGACATTGAAAGTAAACGTGATGTCTGAATCGGTATCAGAATATTTATTTATACTGGACGAATCCGATGAGCTATAAAGCTCTTTGTCACGGATGTCCAGTAGGGGCGGGTTAGAACGTTACAGCAACAAACAATACACAACAACACGATAGGAGTGCAAAGTATAGGAAAGGTAAACCAATCACTTGAAAATATATCCGAACAAAACGTAGCTATTTTTTTATCTTACCAGGTAAAGCCCACTCAGCAAGTAACTTATTTATCAGAAGCGATCTGGCCACATATTATAGCTCAAAGAAGTAGCTTATTGCGTGGACATTTATAGCAGCAAAATAATTTAAATGAGAGCGAGAGTTTGGAGTGTTACCGTACAAGGGGGTGGCAATCGTAGTTCCACGCACAGGGGAAGTTTAAGATGGCTCATACGATGGTCACCGACACGCTCCAACTAGGATGTGCCTGGCACAGGATGGTGTTCGATGGTAACCAGTCAGAGTGCCGTGACCACCCATGACAACCAGGTTGAGTGTAAGCACTTAAAATTTCGTGTTGATTGCTGCCCAGCAATCTTCCAGCCACCTTGCGGCCCAGGCCTGCAACACCTGGTGTATTTGTTGGCCGTTGCCTATCCAAGTACTAACCAGGCTCAACTCTGCTTATTTTCCAATATCCTGTGAGATCGGGCACGTTCAGAGTGATTTATGTCATCGGCAAAACATCAAGCGCGGCTAACCTCAACGTACATGTGTCTCGCCATGAAACTTTATGATTTTTGACAGTTTCCGCGTATGTATCCCATTCGTGCTATCAACATTTAATGAGACAAAAAAATCCTAGAATCTCTCTAAGAAGAGTAAATGCTTTTGTGCTAGACAATGGCCCACGGAAGCAGACACTACAGAGCTACCACTGAGATCCCTTCAGAAGCCCCCTCTGGACCCATTGTGTTTGATAGACAGGTAAAGTTGCAGATCCTCTGAAGTCACTGTCCACTGACTGTGTGTTCCCTTCACGCAGGAGAAACACATGATTGTTTACATTGAGAAGAAAGTGCTGGAGGACCCTCTGTTGGAGGGGTTGGAGAGCTTCGTCCCAATTCGGAGGAAGCTGTGCACATTCCGAGAAGGTGACACCTGCCGCACAGGCGTACACCGTTACACACACTCGCACAACAGCCTCATTCAGTTTAACACGAAGTAGTAGGGATTTCGCAACCAATATTATCCATAATCGAGTTTTTTTTTGTTTGGGGTTAGATCGTGTAAATAGGAATGTGTCGTTAAACCGGCCACCACCCGGCAATCGTAAGGTTTGTTACATAAACAAAATGTGTCAATTAGTTACTCGTTCACAACATTTACAATTAGAGTACAACATTTTGCCATAGTGCCATTCGTCGCTAAGGGACGGTGATGTCACCACAGCGACTGTGCTCAGCTGAATCGTGGGGTCGAAGCCTCTAAAACTCTTCCAAACTGTCTTACACAGTAACCAGACGAGAAGTTACGAATGCCTACTGTGTGGCTAGGGCAACCGAATCTTGCGAAATCTGGCAGTGGGCGTCTTCAAGTCTCCGCTTGCTTCAGTCGAACAACCGTAGGGTCCAAATCGTCACGCTGTGTGTTGAGCAAGCAGCATTTGTTCATTATTGATTAGCACCTCAGGGCAGGAAAATATGCACGAGGTGTTAAAGCAAGTTTGTTGAGCAGTTATGTAATAAGAAGGGTATGGATAATGTTTCATGAGCCAGCGTGAGACAACACTTTTCTTACTTGGTTCGCTTCAAGCCACAACAAACACTGCAACATTTCTCACGCCCGTAAATCATTTATTGTTCTTGATTTAGAATAATAATTTTACTCCCGTACTTCGCTAGCGCTCAACGGTATGTGCGTGTGTGTGTGCCTTACCCACAATCCCACCCACCACTGCGTAGGCTACGACGACATCTCAGACCGCATCGACTTGATCATCTGTCTGGGCGGGGATGGTACCCTCCTCTACGCCTCGTCCCTGTTTCAGGTAAAGCACGCAGCACATCTGCTCACTCACTGCAGCCTACTTGCCTTCACCAACCTGCACTGACCAGCGTGGTGAAGTCTAGTCACGTAACGTCCACGACTCACATGGTGGTTTGGGGAGGCTCTTATCCGGCAGTGGATTGTATGTACTGTATGTATGTTGAACTATCTTCACATGATACGTAGCCAACTGTGATAACTGGAGGTGCGGGGGAAGGACAACAAACTAAACACAAAAGGCAGTTCTTAAGAAACAAGTTTTCGATCTAGATTTAAAAGTGCATAGCTCCAGTGGCTTCCTAATATCGGAAGAAAGAGCGTTCCAGATGGCCGTAGAAGCGCATCTGAAAGCGCATGATGCAGTGACCATCTTTGTTTGCTGGCTAGCCAAAAGCCGCTGCGAGGATAACCAGAGTTCGCGTGATGGTTTAAGCTCGTCGACGAAATCAGAAAGGTATTGCGGTTTATTTGTTGCAAGCACTTTGTGTTTTATGAGTGTGACCTAATTTTTTCATTCGGCAACCGAAAGCCAATGCAGTTGTATCATGTACATGTACTCCCTGCGACTATCCAAGTGTATCCCGCCTCACTTTCATATCCTGCCTTACCCCGCACCGGCTGTGAGTGCGGGCGAACGTCGAGTCAACGGATCCTCTGCTTTTGCCCACAGGAGAGCGTTCCACCCGTCATGGCCTTCCACCTCGGCTCGCTGGGCTTCCTGACACCCTTCAAGTTCGAGACGTTCAGACCCAGCGTCAGCCAGGTCATCGAAGGTACGGCCGACACGCGCGCACATATGCGCGCCCCCCTACCAGGAATCTTACACGCGTGCGCTTCTAAACTAAACTACATTTTTTACCAGCTAAGGTCGACTGAGCTGTGTGGCTCTTTTTCAGAAGCGACCTGGCCACAAATGATAGCTCAACGAAGTGGCTTATCACGTGGAAATTTATATGAGCAACCAAATACTCTAAAGCATGTTTCTAAATGTGGAGAGAATAACGGGAGAACCCGGAAAGAAAATCCACACGACGATGGGGAGAGAGACGTGAAAACTCCAAATATGCAGCAGGCGTAAGGCTTGGGATTGAATGCACGACCTCCTGCATATTCCAGGCGAAGTAGTTAACATCTCGCCACCGTTGCAAAAAGCGCGTACCACGAGCTGACCAATCGCAGGGCTCACGTGACCGCTGCCTGTCACTTGCGCTGGCGTGCAGGGAACGCCGCCTTGGTGCTGCGCTCGCGCCTGCGCGTGCGTGTGATGAAGGATCGGCCAGCGAGCGCAAGGGACGCCCGTGACGGCGGGGTCACGGCGGTGCCGCGCGAGGGTAACGGGCCTCTCACCGGGAAGCATCTGGACACCGACTCAGGCAAGACCCTCGTTCAGCTCCAGGTGAGGCCAACTACTAACAGCCGCATGTTGAACTTATTTCGTGCCGTACGTAGCCAACCGTGCCAATCGGAGCTGTGGGGCAGGGACAACAAACTAAACACAAAAAGCAGTTCTAAAGAATCGAGTTTTCGATATTGATTTAAAAGTGCACAGCTCCAGTGGCTTCCTAATATCTGAAGGAAGAGCGTTCCCGACGGCTGCAAATGTGCATCTTAAAGCGTGCAATGCAGTCACCGTCATTGTTTGATGGCTAGCCAAAAGCCGCTGCTGTTGCTGCTGTGGAATTTAAAATACATCGGTGATTCAGCTCTCGAGCTCTTCTATAACATTAGAATTTACATCAATCGCGTAGCTGCTTTATTAACAGTTACATCAGTTAATCAGCTGTCTCGCCATCATAGAACAAGGATAATTAGAATTACATGATATTCTCGAAGGATGGGTGGTGCAGGGATTAGAGCGGTGAGCTGGTTGTAGGTAGGTATGTTGAACTTTTTTAGCACCGTATGTAGCCAACCGAAGCTGATCAGAGTTGCGAAAGTGTCACAGTAGATTGACAATATTTCATTTAAGTGATTTAATGGATGCTCAGGATGCGTTCAAATAAAAACTATAATTGGTGTGTTTCGAGGTGGGTGGCTTAGTGGCTCAGGGTCATAGCGCTGAGTCAGCATTGTTGACGTTCTGGATATGAATTCAGTTTTCAGCCACGTGTTGAAATCAGGTTCTCAAGTGTAGCGAGTTAAATGTCTCAGCCCGGTCACCGACGACTTCACACAAAACAAAAACGCACTGCTTTGTGTTTTGCATAGGGTGGTATTATTAGAGCTCTGTGAATTAAAGCAATACTTGTGTAATGAGAGAGCGCCACCTAGGGGGTAACAAGGGGTATTTGCATGGCCACTGCTGGGTAATCGGTATCCAATCCGAAACGGGGATTCCTTCTAGGCCAAAGGTAACGGGCGGAGCTAGAGAGTAGAGGTCGCAAACGGGTTTTGATTCCTTACCCGTACCCGTACCCGGCCGCACCAGGGTCGCAAATGGGTACCCGTACCCTTCCGGGTAGGGGTACCCGTTCCCGACCCGTACCCGTACCCTACGCGGAATGAGTGACAAACGGTTACTCACCAGTGACTCGCGGTCTACCCGTACCCGGCCGCACCAGGGTCGCAAACGGGTACCCGTACCCGGCCGGGTACGGGTAGCCGGGTATCGGGTAGGGTACGGGTATCGGGTACCCGGTTGCGACCTCTGCTCGAGAGAATGTACCGGAACCATCAAGAGGGTTCCACGAGGGAGCGTGGCTGGAGGCGGAGCAAAGCGAATATCAGCGGAGGCAGGAGGGGTCGGTGTGGGAAGCCTCGGGGTCCGGACTGCATCGTCGCTCAAGCTCTCCTCGCCGACGAGCACATGGCAGACTCCCAGCGAAGCAGCCTCTTCTCCCGGCGCGCCGCAGCCAGCGGCGGGATCAGAGAGAGAGAGAGAGACGTGCCACGACAGTGGCCAGAGAACGGCTTCGTCAACGGCAGTAGAGAGAGAGAGAGGGAAGTTACCCGGAGAGAGTGAGAGAGAGAGCGGAGCGGTGCAGAGGTTGTATTAATAAAAAGACGCCAGTCAACAGTCGTCGTGGAAGTCGTTTATTACGCCTGATTTGACTGCCATGTGAAGAAAATTGCTCTGTGGCAGGACCCTGATGGAAAGTGTTGACACTAGTGTGTTGATAAGAGATCGTTTGAAGGGATTCCAGAAGTCGTGTGATATCTCGTTCCCCGTAGGCCATTCTCTAACACGCATGGTGATTCACTGAAGGCAGTGAGTAGGAATTGACGTACGTGGAGGAGCTATTTATCACAAGGCAACCTTATGAGTCTATGCAGTGAATCTCACCTGCCTAAGCCTCCTGTGCGCCCATTATATTTAACACGCATTTATTGATATTGTGACAAAACCAGGAGGCTATTGTGCGCACGCTGCACACAGATGTCTCTGTAGAATTAATCATTTGAAAGTATAAAGCGGCTGACTCGGACCACATCTCCAGATGCTGTTTCGGCTCCATTCAAAGGCACACAACATTTGTCACAGACACCTGATGGACCTGTACGTATGTACGTATGCCCTGTATGTATGTTTCGTATGTATCTTAAAGAGTGTCGCCTGCCCACATGGTGGTGGTGATGATGAGCTAGAGATCTTTGACAAGCGCCGCGTACGCACGATCCACAGTCCCCCCTCTCCCCTCTGCTGTGCTTTTCTTACGTCAATATTCAATCATAATTATGCTCATTTAAAGCCCTCGGTCAATCCACTGCTGGATGAAGGCATCCGGATGGCGTGGGGGTTGTTTGGACCACGCTTTGATGTCGTCTGCGGGCTGAGTCGCCCTTGATAAAGGACTCCTTAGCTCGATGGGCTTTACTCGGTAGGAAATCAACTTTGGATTATTTTGATTCTGAACGTCGCCATGCCGGGTTTGTGTGGGTTGGCAAATCAGGAGGGGACGCTCAAGACCAGTTGAGATAAAACGTGCGACTGATGTTGGCCATGGCCAGGAACTCCTAATGCGTTGTGCCAGCCCACTGCACCATCGTGCTTTTTTGTGTTTAGTTTGCATACCTGTCAACCCCTTATCAGTGCTGCCTACCTTATTACTGACCAATTCAGACCTTATTTGTCACCCCGTGCCATTATAAATCTCTACGTTCATCCCATCACAAGGGAGAAACACAAACAAATAGACAAAAAACGTTTTTTTCTGCCTGTATTGAAACGGCTGTACGCCATATGGACCTGAAAACTCAATTTCCCCCTACAAGAATACGGGATAAACTGTGTGGGTTTTCGGCAATGAGTTTGTTGTCCTTCCCCTTGCACCTCGGATTAGCACAGTTGGCTATGTACGGTGCGAAATAAGGTCAACATACGTACAAAACATGCCATCCTGTGCCTGAATAACAAATATTTCATTTAGACCACGGGTCGGCAACCCGCGGCTCCAGGGCCATGGCGTTATTGATTAAGGAGCACCGTCTTGCATTCATCACATGTGTAGTGAGTCCAACTGAGTCGCAGACGTTGTCTTGGGAGCAACACTATTTATTAAGCAACTTTAACACAACATCACACAATCTACACTCGGGTATCGAATGCCCATCTAACCACGCTACGGCAGAACTAGACACGGTTAGCTGTCCCGGCCCGGACCACAAGCTGGGTCCCGGACCGCGTGGCTAGAGGCTTCTTTTCCCCGACATGTATCTTCGTGACACCAGCAACACGAAGAACCCCGAGCTCCTCACGGGGACCCCGTTATATCCCCCTGGGCTGGGGCTGGCTCCGCCCTTCGCCCCGCCCACCTTCTAGATCTCTCTCGAGCTCTTTCTTGAAGGCTCCCGAGAGCTCTTTTAGACCACGTGACCGCCCAGTGGCCCCCCCTCCAATATCATCCGGTCACGTGTCGGCAGGTCAACCAGCGTATCATGCCCCAACGTAACCCTGGCTGGCTGATGCTCCCTCTCGCTCCGTCACCGGGAGCCCGCACCGCACACTGCTCGCGGTGCCTCCGCGCTGACCAGCGCTCACCCAAGCCCCGCTAGGGCTGGTACTATGCCCAGTAAGCGGTCTACACATAATGTCGGCACATTATCTGCCGTGGCTTCGTAAGCCCGGCACCACACAGTGACAATCACAGTCGCTAGAAAAACATGGAGGCTCTTGAAATATAGATTTTTTTTTCCGAATTCGAAAAAAATTGTTTATTCTTTCGATTTAAAGCTTTCGTGACTGCAGGGATTTATCTTCTTGGTTTTTTCGGTAAGAACCAAGAAGTTGTTTTTTCTTGTTATTTTGGTTGCCGACCCCCTTGTGTAGAATGATGCAACAACAATAACTGTGCAGTGTCCCGTTAATCAAGCACAACACGGCCGTGGAAACACGCAGCGCTCGTTTTTTCCCCTTTCAGAAGAACGCCTTGTACATCCACGGTCTCTCTGTACGTGCGTGTATGCTCACCCTCGCAGGTGCTCAACGAGGTGGTGATTGACCGAGGGCCCTCATCGTACCTATCCAACGTGGACCTCTACCTGGATAACCGGCTCATCACTACCGTGCAAGGCGATGGTAAAACCTGACACACACACACCACGCGTGCACATAGCACGTGTACAGTCTGTCCTCTTATAAAGTAGTACAGTAAAACCTTGGATTGCGAGTAACTTGGTCTGCGAGTGTTTTGCAAGACGAGCAAATTTTTTAAATTAATATTCATTTGATAAACGAGCGATGTCTTGCAATACGAGTAGTACGTGTATACGCTTTGTCTGCCGAGCGTCACGTGATCACAACTGATATACGAGTGCTTTGGATTACAAACACGTTTCCGGAACGAATTATGCTCGCAATCCAAAGTTTTACTGTAGTTGCGTTCCTGAAGAACACCGCGTTATGAAAAAATCGGGTTATAATAAATAATATATAATACAGGAGGGTGAAGCACTGCCGGCAATAACACGTGAGCGTGAGATGCGTATGCGGGCTGAACAAAGACTGAGGCACGTGGGTAGCATCTAGAAGCATCCAGCAGCATCCCGCCTTGTGTGGCACTCCGCTGAGGCAGCCATATGACCGCTTATTCCTAGTCGCGCGATATAGTTCTGTTCACTCAATCGCGTTATATCCAATTCGCATTATGGAAACATGCAGCGTTACGGAAAAACGGACTGTACTCACTCCGCCAAGGATGTATTTCACAATGTGTTATTGTGCAAGACCAGGACGTGGCAGTGTTGAGTGTTACTACATGTGCATGGATTTTCTCTTTGTACGCTGGCTTCTCAACACATGAAGCCACACAGTCAACAATGGAATTGGCCAAGCATCCCAATGCAAGGACATCCTGAAAAAGAGTCTTGAAATGTGGTCATTCTATCTGCCGTAAATAATTGATAGAATCTCGATTGTGAAGGGAGTACTCATCCTGTGTTCTTGGAATCTGTGCAATCGGGGTGATTTCATGAGCTGCAGAATCTGTTTGTAAATCTCGCAGAGCAATGCATCACTCTGTGTTTGAGAATGGCCTGTGGAAGGTGATATCACATAACTACTTCTGAGATTCCTTGAAGTTACCTCTTATCCACACTCGGCGCTTTGCACTTTCCGACATACTTTGCTATGCATACGTTCGTTGCACGGCAGTGTGACTGTTTTTATTAATTCTCAGAGCCGGATTGTTTTCCAAATTAACTATAAAACACATTTTATATGATTTTATATGATAACATATATTTGTTGTGCAGTCATTGGTGATCTGGCTGACACCATCAACTCGCCACACTTAATAACCCGATTTAATCACGGGTGGCTGAAATCTGGACTCGAACCCAGATTCACAGTTGTGCAGTGCTATGACTCCTTAGCCACCTCCACAATTTGTTTACTTACCACCAAGGTGAAAGAACTATCTAAGGCAAACACTTCAGGTCCCTTTATCTGACATTTCAGAATCCCTACTCTGCGATGAACCAAAATGAATGTCATAAACTGTGGGACAATGCCCTTTCTGCAGGGAGAGTGGTGGTTCCATAAATGCCCGGAGTTTGTTCGACCTCCATTCGCTTGTTGTTGACACAGCAATCCCGCAGGAACTGCTGACTCGGCAGACAGGGTGCAGTTCACTGATAACAGGGATAAATGACCACGTGTATGGATTATTGAGAAATTCATATATTTATAACTGCCACATGGCAATAAATGCCGTAAATATTACGTGAAGAATTACAAATCTTCTATGTGAAACATGTTCATTGTCTTCTTGTTTCTTTCGGTAAAGTCACGTAAAAGGGAAGTAATAAAATAATAAAAATAAAACATAATAAAACAATTCTCACGACGTTTCGGCTACAACGCAAGCAGCCGTCTTCAGGTGAAGAATGAGACACTACCAAACTAGGAGCTTATATATAAGCTGCATTGGGGGTTGAAGAGCGCCTTAACAAAAAGAATGTGCATGTGAAGAGGAATTTAGCATATTCATGGAAAATGCGTAGGCGTTGGGCGGGGGGGTGTCAAAGTCATATTATGCCCATGCATTATGCAGGATCAGCAGCAACCAAGGGGGGTGCAGGGATTAGCAGTAACAAAGGAAAGGAATGTTAATGATATGTAGCTGCAGTTACTCAACAACCACGTAGAAAACTAAAGTATAAACTACATAAAAAACTAAAGTATAAACTGCATCGCACCATCAGTATACTTACTATACTCTATAATAAGCTGAGTTACTAACAGCAAGTAATACATTACAATTCTACCTCGTAAAAATTCTATAATATGCTTCCATCTAAACCTTATTCTCTTATATCACACGAGCATATACCGTACTATATACTGCCATAGATAAACCCAACATTAAATTATATACTGTATTGCTGTAAACCAACCTATATCTTATACATTTAATATAACACTATGTATTATTCTACACACCCTAATGTGTATCGAAATGGTTTATTACGTCCTTCCAATGATTGCTGAGCCAGAATCCATCTTCTCGGTTAAAATTGTCTCTGTGTTTGTATATGTGGATCGCCTCATGAACGAAGAGAACCTCTGTCTCCAAGACAGAGGTTCTCTGCAAGCCATCTGGCTATCATGAGAGATTCGTTCATGAGGCGATCCACATATACAAACACAGAGACAATTTTAACCGAGAAGATGGATTCTGGCTCAGCAATCATTGGAAGGACGTAATAAACCATTTCGATACACATTAGGGTGTGTAGAATAATACATAGTGTTATATTAAATGTATAAGATATAGGTTGGTTTACAGCAATACAGTATATAATTTAATGTTGGGTTTATCTATGGCAGTATATAGTACGGTATATGCTCGTGTGATATAAGAGAATAAGGTTTAGATGGAAGCATATTATAGAATTTTTACGAGGTAGAATTGTAATGTATTACTTGCTGTTAGTAACTCAGCTTATTATAGAGTATAGTAAGTATACTGATGGTGCGATGCAGTTTATACTTTAGTTTTTTATGTAGTTTATACTTTAGTTTTCTACGTGGTTGTTGAGTAACTGCAGCTACATATCATTAACATTCCTTTCCTTTGTTACTGCTAATCCCTGCACCCCCCTTGGTTGCTGCTGATCCTGCATAATGCATGGGCATAATATGACTTTGACACCCCCCCGCCCAACGCCTACGCATTTTCCATGAATATGCTAAATTCCTCTTCACATGCACATTCTTTTTGTTAAGGCGCTCTTCAACCCCCAATGCAGCTTATATATAAGCTCCTAGTTTGGTAGTGTCTCATTCTTCACCTGAAGACGGCTGCTTGCGTTGTAGCCGAAACGTCGTGAGAATTGTTTTATTATGTTTTATTTTTATTATTTTATTACTTCCCTTTTACGTGACTTTACCGAAAGAAACAAGAAGATGAATCCCTGCAGTCACGAAAGCTTTAAATCGAAAAATGTTCATTGTCGTATAGTAGATCTCACATATATGCATGTAGCCTGGGGGCAGAGGGGATGGGAGTGGTGGTGAAGTAGTTAGCTCACGGAGCTTATGAACCTGGTGATCGATTCCTGGGCACGGCTAACATCAGTGGCAAGTCACATCAGAGCCACCCCTCCTTTCATCAACTCACACTGATCAACGTGGTAAAGTACGGCCAAACATTCCCTACGATCAACATGGCACGGCGAGGCCGCGTCTATTGTGGACTCGCAAAGTTCTATCGTCTGAACGGTGGCGTGGATCTGTGTAGGTCGGAGCTCACGTGTTAAGGTCAGATTATTTTTCAGTCGTTTAACGTTTTCATTGCTGGGGGGTGGGCGCGGCTTTGTTGGCGGTTCCAGGCCTGATCGTGTCGACGCCTACCGGTAGCACGGCCTACTCTGCGGCAGCGGGGGCCTCCATGATCCACCCCAACGTCCCGGCCATCCTCATCACCCCCATCTGCCCCCACTCGCTCTCCTTTCGCCCCATCGTTGTGCCGGCCGGTGTGGAGCTCACGGTGAGTGCTCCCCCCCCCCCCCCCCCGCCGCCCCCCCCCCCCCCCGCCGCCCACCCCCTCCCCGCAACGCTCCTCCGGCCCCACCGTCCCCACCGCGTTTTCGCTGAGCACAGCTTTTCAGTCTGGCCCCCTCCTCCGCAGCGATGAGCTACGCTGCAGCGTCCACGACATACCGGGATAAACCCGGTGCATCTGAGTTTGTAACGGAATCCCATTGTTCGGTTGACAGTGACAGTCACCGACATGCTCTGATTGCAACACATGTCACCCCCGCCCGGGGAGGGGGAGAGGGGGGTGCCCCCACCCCAACCATGTGACCCATGTGCCATCTTAGCTCAGTGATTTACATCTGTATTCTCAATGATACCCAATGATTCCCATGAAGACCAAATTTGTATTCCCTTTATATTAACGTACCCCATAGAGGGGCTTTTTTATTGAGCCCTCTCTAGAGGAGGCCCTGCTGCCAGCAGTGGCATGAGCTAGGTTAAAAAACAAACGTCACTGACATCACTGAAACTCTCAAGCCAATTCCAGAACGTGCACTATAATGTACGCACGTATGTTGAACCTCTTTCGCACCGTACGTAGCCAACCATGCTAACAATGCTTCCGTAGTTGCTGTGCAATGCAGCATTGATCTGGGGCTGCACTACCACTTGAAATTTCTGCAAAGCGTGGACACTTGAGCCACTGGGCCACCTCCGTGTGGTTCACGGTTTTAATGCCGCGCGTGACGTTGCCGTGCGCGAACAGATCATGCTGTCACCGGACGCGCGCAACACGGCGTGGGTGTCGTTCGACGGGCGCCGCCGCCAGGAGATCCAGCACGGAGACAGGTTTGTGGGGGGGTGGGGGGCTCGGTGTGATTTCTCACGTCGGGGGGGGGGTGTGTGAGGTAAGGAAAACATTACCCCCTCACGCAAAACTTGGCAGATTGGGAGGGAACAACAACATCCTTTAAGCTCTATGTATACGGGGGTTAGAACTCATTTGACTCAATTACGTATCACCGTTAACGCGTACTTCCCCGAGTGCGTAGGTTTTCGTGGTTTGTTCTGTACAGCTCTCCAATGCATTTTCAGGTCGGACCAAATCGAGCCCCTCACCGATTGCAGCGTTGCCCGCTCGATTCGATTCCCGGTGAACGCGTCGGTGGGCAATCGCAGCTCCCCGTTTCGGTTCTAGTTAACGGTGGCAACGGTAATGACACCGCTTCTCATTTTCTGTTCTCTTTTTTTTTTTCCCCGCCCGTCCGGCGCCGCAGCATCAAGATCACGACGTCGTGCTTCCCGGTGCCGTCGGTGTGCTGCGAGGACCCCGTGCAGGACTGGTTCGAGAGCCTCGCCGAGTGCCTGCACTGGAACGTGCGCAAGCGGCAGTGCCACCTGGCCGACGGCTTCGGTGACGACGAATACCACAATGGGGACGGCAGCGTTGGGGCCGGCGGCGGCGGTGGTGGCAGCGGTGGCAGTGGTGGCGACGAGGACGATGACAATAAGCAGGGCTGACGCCCAGGCTGGTTTTCTCTCCCATCCGGATTTGTCTGTCACTTCGTCCTTCTCTCCCAACTCTTCTTCTTGGTTCTTTCGGTAAAGCAGCCGTCCTCAGGTGAAGAACAGGTCTGTCGAGAAGACAGATTTCAGACTCTGTCTTCTCGACAGACCTGTTCTTCACCTGAGGACGGCTGCTTGCGTTGTGGCCGAAACGTCGTGAGAATTATTTTATTATGTTTTATTTTTATTATTTTATTATTTCCATTCTACGTGACTTTACCGAAAGAACCAAGAAGATGAATCCCTGCAGTCACGAAAGCTTTAAATCTCCCAACTCTCCCATAGGCTGGAATGTCCTTCCCTCAGCTCTTCGTGCTGTCAGCTCCCCGCTTCTGTTGAGGTCCAGGCTTCAATGTAACTGCCTTGACCCGTAGCCTGAAACGGACTTCCCCCAGGCAATCATGCTGTCAACCTCCTACCCCTGTTCAAGGTCCTGGCTTCAATGTCTGTCTCAACACCTCCACAGTCTGGAACGAGCTTGCCCCCCAGGCATCCGTGCTATTGGCTCCCTGCCCCTGTTCAAATCCTGGCTCAGGCCCTTCTCATGTGCTCTGTCTAGGACCACCGGATTCTCTCTCTCTCTATATAAAGGAAATAATCCAGATGTCACATTCAGACATTACATAAATCCACATTGTATGTTTATTGTATGCAGAAGCTTTGGTCAAATGACATTCATTTTGAAAAAAAACAAGTGCTGTCTTAATGATGGTCACTGGGAAACGTTATGATTACATTTTCCAGGGACACATCGATAAAATCTCGAATTCTCAGCCTAAGGTTCTTAGTTCACGTCTCCTCCATTCTCACGGATCTTGCACCCTCCTTCTAATTTTGGCAGCATACAGACCTCCGCTTTATACCACGTTCTTTATTTGAAAAGCAGATGAGAGCTCGGTGAGAATAGGTGGCTCTTTTTCTCAAGAGTTAGGTTGGCTACAAAAGCAAGTAAGTGCACGTGTGAAAAGTGTAAAGGTGCAGTCCCAGCAATTTCTTGATCACGCCACTGCTGCTGATGGAAGGCCGCCCTCCCCTCGACGGAGCAGTCGGCCTCCTCTTCTCCCGCTGACCCACACTCTACCCCACCACACGCGACCTGCAACACACGCTAACAAAGGTCAAAACACGGCTTCATTATACAGGGTCTGAATGTCAAGCAAATGAAATAGAAACGTACGTATAAAGCATTAAGTAGCAGTTTACAATTTAAAGTATAGAGGTTTCAAAACGTATTTTTTTCAGAAGTCGATGAGATGCGTTTAAAATGACGTCAAGGCACTTCGACGCATATCGACCAAGCGGTTTTGAAATGTAAGCGTAGGCACAGTGTTGTTCCTCGATCTAGCAGCCTTGTTACAGAAATAGCGGTTCCCAAAAATTTCACTGTTTACTCTTGGCACGTAGCAACGCAGCAACGTGTCTTAAATTGCAAGCATTTAAATGTGGGATGAACAAAAAAACCCACTTAGACTTTGCGGTAATGTCTTGGTCAGAACGCCTTAAAGACAAACGTGCGCTCGTTGTTGTGCATTTCACCATATTGGCAGCGGAAGGCAGACGCATGCACGCACGGGCGCATGCGTGCGCACTCACGCGTGGTCCCGTTACGAAGATCACCACGGTGTCGGCCTGATGCTCGCGGAGAGTCAATCACTGCCACCAGCATCGTCCGCATTTGCTCGCCTCGTGTTCGTAACGGTTTAGTTTGTTGACGGCTGCATCTGCGCTTGTGTTCTGGCCGACTGATGAAAACCCTTAAACGTAATGTTCATATCTGGGGATTCAATTACAACTAAAATCGTATCATTCGTACTGAATTGCAATGTCAATGTATTTGCAAGTTCAGCAAACAATGCTGTTTTAAGTGTCATTATTACTCATCTTGGGTTATGTCGGTGCTTCTTATGCTTCCCCCATCTTCTGGTTCCTCTGGTCTGTATTTTTATTTGTCGCAGTCCCTTTCCAACCCCTGTAATGGATTTTATTCCACACACTCTCACCTCCTGTCTCCTTAATCTTTCCTCCTTTCTGTGCATTTACTGATTTTCTTCCATCCTTCATTAACCTTCATACGTCCGTCTTCTTACCATCGCAATCGTTATTTATTCCTCTCTCGTTTCTCTGAGTTGTTAGGCCGGTGGTAACGATTCGCCCCAGCCTACGGTGGCAACTCGGTACGAGAATCAGAGCTCTGTTGTCTCGTTTTTTTATAACCGTCTTCAGTTGTATTATTTATCTTTGATCTCTTTCGGTTGTTCAGTTTTCTTCTATCGATTAAGCTAAATCTATCACTATGGAATATAATTTGCATAAATCACGCACGATTCGATGCGTGTAACGTAAGCGTACATGGATCGGTAAAAATCCACGTGGTTTTTTTACATCGCTTGGACCCGACTGTGTCATCCTGCCAGCCGTGTCTCAGGGCGTACGAATCTGCCTCTCCATTGCTGGCCTCCACCACACACACACTCTCCCCCATATCCATCACTTCCATCACTACCATCGCTCTCCCACTCTCCTCGCTCTCACACTCTTCCTTTCTGTCTCTCTCACACTCTCCCAATGTGGTTCTCTCCACTCTCCCCCATTCTCCCTCGGGCATGGGACCAAACCTCGTTTACCCGTCACCTAAAAATATATTTACAAGATTTCTTTTGGGTGAAGGGAAATGTGTTTTTTTAGACAACAAGTTATTCCGGAAGGAATAGCCTAACCCCCCCCCCCCCCACTTCCCACAATTCGATGAATTGTCACAGTTTGAAGTTATGATTCAATTCAAGAATCTTTTTTTTTTGGGGTCTCAATTTTTTTTATCGTTTTTATTTTTTTTCTGCCTTGTATAATCGTATTCGCCACGTTATGTTAAATGTAATATGAAGCTTATAAATTTGCATATTATTTGTCAGTCTTAAATAATCGATTATCACGTGGGCGCTGTTTGTTCGACTCGCGCATGGAATTCGATTTTAATCGGTGAACGTCTGCATCGTTCCATGCCTTTCAATCGCCCTCGACCTTTTGTGCAATTCTCTGCCCGACAAATATGTAGCTGTCACCCTACTCAGTCACCTTACACAAGGGGTTAGGGAGAGCGAGGCTCGATGAGGTAGTGCTGTAACTGACGGTTAGGGAAAGCAAGGGGAGAGGAGTAAACTATTGATGATTTTTTTTGTAATCAATTACTCGGCAGCCGTTTCGAAATTGCAAACGCCGCCGAGAGGCGCCTCAAAAAACGCAGCACTCTCTTCCCACAGTGCATGCCCAGCGTGTTGATTGTTAATGTACGCAAATGATATGCGACTCTGTATGCTGGTTTTTTGTTAACAGTGATTAATCGATTAATCAAAGCAATAATACATGGATTAATCGATTACGTCACGAGTACGATAGTTGGGAGTCGCAGCGTTCGGCCACGCTGCGTGGTGGGTGTTTGCGGAGCGGTTTCTGGGTGGGCGTTTTGGAGCGCTTCGCATGGACTCCTTTGTCCCCCCCCTTCTCTGCCTGGACGTGGAGATTCACGCGGAGACATCCGGCCATCACAAATGAAGTTGGCTTATCACGTGTAAATGCATAGCAGCCAAATACTCTTGAACGCGTGTTGATTCGAAACGTGGAAGGGAAAAACCGGACGGCCTGGAGAAAAATCCACGCAAACCACGGGGAGAGAGAACGGGAGAGACATGCAAACTCCCAAATATACAGCAGCAGGCGTCCGGGTGTCGGGCTCGAACCCATGCCCTCCTGGAACTCGCGTTGGCCGACACAACGTGAAAAACCTGCGGCGGGGGGGGGGTAGTTTAATTGTCCTCATTGGCTCACGGAAGGTTTCCACACAGTTGCTACACTCCGCTGTAGGAGAATAGAAATCTGTTCCCTCTCGTGTCAACCAATATTTGGGTATATTTCTTCCCCATGCAATTATTTATAAATGTGTTTTTTTTTAAACAATGTTATCTATCTTTGCATACAAGTCTAAAGCCATGCACTTTCAAATTAAATATTAACAAAAAAATTGGACTTCTGAACTATTTTGTGAACCAGTTGCTCCGTTTGCTTTTAGAATAGTACACCCAATATTTTGCTAATCAATGAATGTAGTTTGAACTAACCCGAACCCCCGTAATCGAAACTAGGAGTGTCCCAATGGACTAGAAATACGAACCAAATATTTGTTCCTGGGGGAATGAAAACGCGTGTGGGTGGAGGTGGGATATCCATTGACAACACCGACATTGAAGTTGGTTTAAAGTTTTGTGCGTTCACTAGCGGGCGAAGATATTCCTCCCCCCCCCTCTTGTATTTTATTCCCCATCGAGTCGAGTACCATGCGAGGGTTTAATTCGTTTCGTGAGCTTTTGTTTTTCGTTGTTGTTTGATCCGCATGCCGTTTTCGATTCAAAATCGCTAAACAAAAATCTACTGCCATTAAAAACTTAATTTCTGGCTTCCTGAGATGTACATATTCGCCCGGAGATCGTTTTCATATTGATGTCTGACGAGAAATAAAGTGTCATTCTACCTTGTTAATTTTGATTTCGCTTGTTGCAGTTATTTTCATTTCTTTCGTGTAATAGAGCATCGGTGGTGGTGGTGATGATGATGTCGATACTAGGCTGCTACTGCTGCCTGTGAAGCAGAAAATTTGAGAAATGTACAATTACAGTTTTCACTTACATGAGCATCTCAATGCAAACACATCTTGTGGTAGCAACGCGGAAGAATCCTGATGGGTACAAGACGGCGACTCACCACGTCCCACGCTCCCTTCTAGAACATTCATCGCTGGCTTCACGGTCCGATTCTCGGCGTCACTCGACAGCTCCACAAACCACCACCGCCGTCGGAATCTTGCTACGACCACCTCAGGATGCGCTGTCGGTGACATTTGGTCAAACAAGCCCCATGACTCAATTGGCGTGGGGAAGACTCTTCATTCATATTCTGGCAAATCACCCGATGATTCTGGATGTAATTACAAGCGAAACGTCGTACTCACATTGTAAAAGTCGTGGATTTAACTCTTCAACACACCGGTGGGCTGAAGTAACTATTTGGCGTTTTGTTTACGTGTCAAATCCCTTACAAATTGGCTGTATCAGGTGGTGGTAGGTTTAACGACACATTTATATTTACGCGATCTAAGCACAAAAAAAACCCCCTCTTATGGGTTAATATTGCTTGCGAAAGCCTACCACGTGTTAGACCATTCGGGTATGTTGTGTGGGTTCGGGCAGGGCACGTCACAGTTGGAAGGGACGACGAGCAATGGAGGTCGAGACACGGGGATGGTGTAACGGCGACGACGACTTCCACGAGGTGCTTCCGCCACAGCGATGGAGCGGTGAGATCGGTCCCGCGAAGAAGGCACGGACGGTCCGTCCAGGGGCGGGCGACGTGCTGGGTGGATTGTGCCGTCGCGGGCACCGCCGGGAGAGGTGGTGACGGATTGGGGAGAGGCCTTCGTCCGGGTCGTGGGTTGATCGCGGCCGCTGATGATGATGATGACACGTCATCCATCCAACTTTTGGCTTGGCCATCAGACAAAGACGGGGCGTCACCGCGTCGCGCGCTTTCAGATGCGCTTCTGCGGCCGTCTGGAACGCTCTTCCTTCCGAGATTAGGAGCTATGCACTTTTACATAATCTCTATTAAAAACTAATTTCTTCAGAATTGCTTTTTGTGTTTAGTTTGTTGTCCATCCCCCACACCTCCGATTAGCGCGGTTGGCTGCGTACGGCGCAAAATAAGTTCAACATACATGACGTACAGAATAAAATAAATACATATGAAAACGTCGTGAAACAAAGCCTTTCCTTGTTAGAGTGCCATGAAATCAGATTGGCGTGATGCATTAAATGCCCCTTGAAAATCTGAAGGACGTATCGTTTCTGCGGCTCAGTCACAAGACGCTGCATGTGAGAATGATTATTTATAACCGTCTCCTGAAGCATTTATTGAACAAGGGGAACAAAACTGCACATGGCCCTAAATAAAAAAAAAAACACAAATAATAAAATACGTGAATTTTTTATTTGCACAGTAAAGTAATTGTATTTTCTCATTTTGCTATACAGTCAGATAATACGACAAATCGCTAACCCTAAATACCCAGTCGTTCATAAAAGTCGAAGGCAGTATAGTACTATAGTAATAGAGCAAGTGCAGATTCACTGAACTGGAATTGATAGCTATGCTTGTATTGAATTTATTATTTTATCTTTATACGTGACTTTACCGAAAGAACCATAGAGTAATTACTGCAGTCACGAAAGCTCCAAATTAAGTTCGGAATTTATAGCTTGAAAGCATTTAGAGCGGGGCCCATCATTCCGAAACGGTGTCTTAGATACCGATCGTCCGAAGCTCCGTGTATCTCTGCCTAGTTTTCAGATGATTTTTTTCAGGTTAATTAAAAAATCTGGAACCCCCCCAGAACTCTGACCCACAATGCCTTCACCGTTGCTCTTCGCTTTTGGGCGCTTCAGTGTTGTGTGCGCTCATTAATTGTTACTTCAAAAAAGGACACACTTTGGACACGAACAATTCAAAGCATTTACGCATTGCCACGAACGGCGCGCCGCGGAAAAGGGGAGAGACAAGCGCACAGCGACACGGTGGTCTTGACTGCGACACCTCACAAGCACGCCGCTGGCATGCTGATGTCCGGGTAGAACAGCCACTTCGTGGGGTTGCAATGCAAAGAGCCGGCCGGGCCACTCTGAGGGTTGCCGCGTTTGTCGTCGGCGGCGGCGGCGTTGAAATCGGGCACCTTCGAGCAATCGACCGGCAAAAAATCTTTCGTCCAGCACACGTGAATCTCCGACAGCATCTGCGCGTCCTGAAAGCGCGGCATGTCGAGGCACATGAGCTTGGGCGTGACCCCGAACGCGGCGCTGATGGCCGCGAGCACGTGCTTGAACTTGTAGCCCTTCCCGTGCGAAGGGTAGATGCCCGCGTCGCCCAGCGCCCCGGCCACGTCGATCATCTGGTAGAGCTCGATAGCTTTGGCGAAGTACTTGTGCTGGGAGCCGAGCGCCGACAGCTGAGCCGCGCACGTGCCGTGGCGCGACCACTCACGCGACCAGAAGAATGTGGAGTTGGACGCTTTCAGAGCCGGCCAATACTCGTTCATGTAGGGCACCAGATCCTGGATGTTGGCGATTTGGAACGGCCACAGGTCGTTGCAGCTCTCCCTGTGGTAGGTCCAGAGGCCGTGGATCGTCCAGCTTTTTTTCACCGAGTCGGGGACGTAGCACTTGAGGTGCTCCGACTGCAGCTTCTTGCAGACGCTCTGCGGCCACGACTGCGCGAGAACGAGGTGGCTCCAGCCTTCTCGCGGCTCCTTATCCTCCTTCTCGTGGCGGGAGGTGACCCCGGCGGTCACCCCGGCGGTGACCCCGGCGACGACGATCAGGAAGGTCAGCAGCTGCACGTGAGCCGGCATGGTGCGCGTGAAATCGGCTGGGTAGAAAGAAAAACGAAATTGAATTTTGAAATCGATTCGTCGAAAGAAGTTTGGGGAGTTATTGTGCACGGTGGGGATTTTGATGCAACCCAATGTTAGGTTTCACCCCCCCCCCCACTCAGATTATATTATATTATTATATTATTTTATTATGTTTTATTTTTATTATTGTATTACTTCCCTTCTACGTGACTTTACCGAAAGAACCAAGAAGATCTTACAAACTAGGCGAGGATTTCTTGGAAAAGTAAAAAAAGGCATTTTTACTTGCGAGAGAATGAGTCCGGAAGATGATGTCACAGAACTGCTTCTGAAGTCACCTCGATGGGGCCTCATCGACCACACCAGGGGGGCAAATCTTCTACGTCTCGGCTCGAAGAGTCGTCGTCGTCGCATGTACACCAAGCGTTAGCGCTAGAATTGTTTTAAAATGAATTTTTTACATGCCGGGGTTTTCGCGACAGCCTTTGCGCTTTAGGAATCGCGTGGATACCAAATGTACTCATTATGATTACTCTCGAATTATTCGTGGTTGCGAACAGCATTTCACCTACGGCTCAGCTTCTGTATTGTTCAGTACCAACCTTGTGATGAGTGACTCACAGGGGCCTTAACATGTTTACAGTGAAGCAGAGTACACGTGTGTGTGTGTGAGATATCGCACTGCGTCGGCATTGATGCACGAGCATGGATAGCAAAGCCCCAACCAACGCATTCGTCCACAGCACACGACCCTTAAAGAGGAAACGCACGTAGCAGGCGACGTCTCGAGCAATTGCCCCATAATTCGTATCGAAGCAGCAGAGAGTGGTCAGAGAAATGTGTCGTTAAACCCGCCACCACCCGACACAGCCAATTAGTAAGGTTTGTCACGTAAACAGAACGTGCCAATTCGTGACTGGTACAGCACACCGGTGTGTTGAAGAGCAAACTGGGCCTGTAGCATATGCTATAAAGGGCCCTAAATTACAAAAAAAATACAAATAATAAAACACAAATGTTTTACTTGCATAATAAATTTAATTTTTTCATTTGCTATACAGACAGATAATACGACAAATCGCTAACTTTAAACACCCAGTCGTTCGTAAAATTTGAAGGCAGTATAGCACTATAGTAATATAGCAAGTGTAGAATCACTGAACCGGAATTGATAGCTTGAAAGGATTTAGCGCGGGGCCCTTGAAAGTGCGAGGCCCGTAGCTACTTATGCAGCTACTTGTGCTGCTACGATAATTCAGTGTAACAAAACAAAATTGTTCCTGGGTAGTAAGTGTTATTTTCCAATTGCTTATGCCTCAAAAGTACAGAAAATTGCTATTATTCCCCACAAACTTTGCTTATGTGACCAGGACAGTGATATTTAGAAATGTCCCTATTTTCAATGAGAAAACGTGGTGTGCATTTGTGTCATTCCTTCCCGTAAAGTCCTGGTCACAAAAGCAAAGTTTATCGGGAAAAATTAACCCTTAAAAACAAAGTTTTTCACTATAAATCCTTTATATGCGTGGCGGCTAGAGTCCTCTCGTCATCTGGCTTGAGATGGCTGCCACCTATGGGTCAGATGATTGCCTGCCACCATTAAGCAATTGGTAATTAAATATAATTTATTTTTTCCTAAAAAGTGTAACATTTTGGAAAACATTTTCACGAAAATAAATTGTCACGCACAACGAGTCTGTGTGCAAAATGTCAGCTCGATTTGATCACGGGAAGTGGGTTAAAAAAACGACCGAAATATTTGCACGGTCGTAAGCGCGCAAGCAAGCAAACAAGTGAACTTAATATAAAGGATTTAAAATAGACATGATCTATACTTTTGAGGCATAAGCAATTAGAAAATAACACTTACTACCCAGGAACAAAAATCGTGTTATATAGTAAATAAATATTTAATCCGGCACTGATTACAGCGCGGGGGGGGGGGCGGTGGGAGGGTTACAGGGCACTCACATTCACACCGACACCCACCGTGATCGGAGTCGTACAAGCCCTGCGTTTGTCAGAGAGTGGTGCCCCTTTATATCAGCCCGAGCCAGCGTCTGTCACCGTCTCCGCCTACCACCTCCTCCTTCGATGAGCCACTCTCCGCCTCCCCCCACCACCTCTCCCACCCCTCAATAAAAAAAAATTCCCCCGGCCCATCGCTCCCCACGAGTTTCCATCTTCGATGCCTCCACATCCGTGTCGAGGGGCTTGGTTTCTCATGCTGACCGCGATTTCAAATAATTGCGGCTCCATCCTGCCAATCTCCGACTTCCTCTTGTCCGCCACCATCCTATACGCCGCTAGCCACCTCGATTATCCATGCCTCCGAATCGATCAGCGTTATGACACGGGCATTTGTTGTTGTTGCTGCTGCTATGCTTGTCCACCCAGGGAATTCTCACCGAGCTTCAAGTTTATCTATCGGGTTTTCTCAGCAGGGTGGCGATGCTGCTGCTGCTATGATTGTCCACCCAGGGAATTCTCACCGAGCTTCAAGTTTCTCTATCAGGTTTTCTCAGCAGGGTGACGATGCTGCTGCTGCTATGATTGTCCACCCAGGGAATTCTCACCGAGTCTCAAGTTTCTCTATCGGGGTTTCTCAGCAGGGTGGCGATGCTGCTGCTGCTGCTTCTATGCGCGATCCCAAATTGTGTGTCCCTGAAAGAAGTGACAAAAACATCCCATCTGCACCTACCCACAGATAAGACGTATGACGTTGTGCTGTTAGGAAAATTCCTCTTCTCTGAAGGCACTGCAATAGTCAACTCCATGCACGCCAATTCGAATACAATTCTGATTCAATTGCGATTCGGTTTTTTTTGCGTGTGGTTATTGGCGCTTGGGAACCTGGTATCAATCATGGTTCAGTCTTTACTTCAGCGAATACATTTTTCCCCGCACCTCTGATTAGCACGGTTGGCTTTATACGGTGCGAAAGAAGTTCAAACGTACATGCATACATTGGAGTCTGCGAGTCTCCATGTGAGTCTTCGAATTCTTTCTGTATACGTCTCATTGGCCTCTGTGTTAAGTCAATGGTGACAGCGTTGAGAACCCATCAACTCACGTAGAAGGGAAATAATAAAATAAAAAATATATAAAACAATAAAAAATGTTTGTTTATAAACAATAAAAAGAATATTGTTTATAAAAAAGAAAAAAAGATTTTTTTATTGTTAAAACAATAATTTTTTATTGTTTTATATATTTTTTCTTTTATTATTTCCCTTCTACGTGCCTTTACCTAAAGAACTAAGAATATGAATCCCTGCAGTCACGAAAGCTTTAAATCAAAATTTAAGCAGGTGACGGTCGGAATCGAGCCGAAGGACCCGAGTGGTCCTGGCTCAAAGTGTCTCGGGGAAACCTGAGACACCCGGTCACCTCAACGATGACCAATTGTTGTTGTTGTTATTGTGATTTTCTTTTTCAACTCATCTCGGGCGCAGAAGTGGGGGGCAGAAATTCCACAAACAAAAGTCCGTGATCTGCACGGCCGGACTTGAAGAGGGATAGATTGGGCCCTAAACGTAAAAAAATATATACTTTTTTCATTTTAACAGGTAAGGTCCACTAAGCAACATGGCTCTTTTCCAGAAGCGACCTGGTTATCACAAATGATAGCTCAACGAAGTGGCTTATCGTGAAATGTATAGCAGCCAAACACTCTCAACGCGTGATGTTGTTGATTCTAAATGTGGAGGGGAAAACCGGAGGGCGCGGAGAAAAATCCACGCGACAACGGGGGGAGAGAGAGACACGCAAACTCCAAATATACAGCAGGAGGCGTTAAGGTCAGGATCGAACCCACGACCTCCTGTAGACCAGGCGAGGCAGTTAACATCTCCTAGCCACCGTGATGATGATGAGAGAGACACGCACACTCCAAATATCCAGCAGCAGGTGTCAATGTCAGGATCAAACCCACGACCCTCCTGTAGACCAGGCGAGGTAGTTAACATCTCCTAGCCACCGTGATGATGATGAGAGAGACACGCATCAACAAGGTAACTAGCATCAACAAGGTAACTAACATCAACAAGATAACTAATCATCAACAATATAACTATCATCAAGAGGAAGAAGGGGGACGCGAGAGAAGTGGGAGAGGGACATGTGTAGGGATGTTGGAGAGAGGGCCGTTATGCATGGCAGCCTATGGGAAAGAAACACAGTGGGCGGGGCTACGTGTGTGCACAGGGAGATGCCCTCTGCGACGTCCGAGCCAGACACCCTGGGGGGGGGCTGGTTCGGCGTTACGATCCCCCGGGGCCCCACCCCTCAAGGAGGGTTGGGTATAAAAAGGGGTCGTTATATGGGCTTAGTCAGTTATGTTATAGTTAAGCTAAGAAGTCGGAAGACGTCGTAGCTAGAGCCCTGGACTCCCCCTGATCGCCGCCCTTATCAGGGCCCCACGGGATCAGGCTCGAGCCAGTGGCGTGGTCCCGTGAACCAGAGCCAGTGCTCTGGGACTCCGGGTACCGAGCCCGATTACCAGTGTCGGGCCAGACAGCCTCCCCTAGCTCTTAGTGGAGGACTCAGGGGATAGGCTATGGATAGCTAGGGGTATTCCCTGAGTTATACGGGTGAGGGGGCCGCTACCCCCTCTAGTGCTGTCCTGTACTGGCAACTTGTTAAATAAATATACGTGTGCCTCAACTCCGTTGTCAAGCGTCCTCGACGGGTACTTCATCTGGCGTCAGAAGTGGTAAAAATGGAAACGCGCCATACAGCTCGGACCAGGGTACCACAAGAGGAGGACGCCGCGGAGATCGCCGAGCCCGAGACAGAGCAACAAGATGGGGTGCAGCCGGAGCCTGGCGCCTTCTCACCGGGACGTCAGCATGGAGAGGGGCCGCAGCCAGATGCACTACGACTGGCTCACGAACGGCTGGCGGAGCTACTTTATGCCGCTGCCGCCACACTGGAAGGCATTACGCGGTTGGGGGTTGGTGGTCCACCGCAGGGCGAGGAGAACCGGCGGCCGGAGCACTTTCCCGCCATTTCAGCGACTTCAAAATTTGAATTTCCCGCCATGGACGCCGCGGCTGTTCGGGGCGTGGCCAGCTTAGACATCGGCTCCGACATCGCCGTCGCCGGGGCTGCAGCGTCATCGCAGCCGAAGGATGCGTCATCGCTGCCGCGACAGGCGATGCCATCGGCCAGTCGCGCCGAGGCACCGCCAAAGGGAGGTGAAAGCAACCTGCGGGAGTCCACATCGACCGCTGCGCTTCACCAAAGACTGCCCCCGCTGAAGGAATTCATCGGTGCGGAGGGTGACTGGGGCGGCTTCCGGCGACGCTTCCTCGCCCATCAGGAGATGGCGCGGTGGTCCGACGAGGAGGCCCTTTGCGCGCTGCCGGCGCTCCTCGATGGGGACGCGCTCGCCGCACTCACGTCGGCGCCAAAAGAGAAGCGGGCTACACTACCAATGGCGCTACAGCTGCTGGCCGGGGTCTATGGACCTTCAGCCGAATGCCGTCAGCAGTTCTACGATCGCAGGCGGGGTGAAAAAGAGTCGCCTCTGGCTTTCCGGACAAGTCTTCTGGCGCTGGCAAAAACAGCCTTTCCCCGCATGGACGACGACGGCGTGGACGCAATGGTCGCGGAGAAGATCCTCCTCTTGGCGGACGACCTCGACATCGTCGTCATCGCACAAGGGGATGCAGAAATGACCTCCCTCCAGGCTGCGCGACTCCTCCACGCCAACCTTCTGCAGCAGCGGCGAAAGGCAAACAGGGCATCGGCTGGGCGTGCGGTGGCTGCAGCCACCCTTCCGTCAGAAGAACTTTATGCCGTCGACCATCGACGGCAACAGACGACGGGGGCGCGGCCGGGTCGGGACGGCCCGAGGCGTTTCGACCGTCCATCGTCTCCATCGGCGCTCCCGCGGTGCTTCAACTGCGGCATCCGGGGCCATGTCGCCTCGGGGTGCCGTTCTCCTCGACAGCGGGGGACGACGCCTCGACAGGACGCCGGCCCTCCTCTTCCTCCTCCCAAGCTCCAGCACCATGATCCGGCGAGTCGCGGCACCTCACATGTTTGGCCAACGCACCCACCTGTCGCACACTCTCGCACCGTAACGAACGGGGGGCCGGTGGGGCGCTGCGATGGACCGACGCGGATCACTGCGGGGACTCAAATCGAGCCCGAGCGGTGGTCCGTGTTGGCCCATCGCGTGGTGGCCGCGGCGTCGGGATCGTCGGCCGTGGTCGGTTACATTGATGGGGTGGAGGTACGCATCATAGTCGATACAGGGGCATCGGCGACAATTATTTCGGAACTAATTTACAATATTCTACCGGTGCAGAGCCGTCCTTTGCTACCGGTTAATGTCCCTTTCTATGCCGCGAACGGGGGCTCTCTCGGCATCGTGGGACAGATTCGAGCGCAAATTTCTATCGGGGACATCAAATTGTCGGGGCCGATTTTTGTCTCCTCCTCACTGGCAGTTCCGTGCCTGCTGGGGACGGACTTCTTGGGCAGGATGCCAATTCGTATTTTGATCGACCAAGGATGCATTGAGCTTCCGTCGGGGCGACGTATGGCGTTCCTGCCTTCCCCTGTAGCGACTCGGACGGCGTTCGCGACGGTACCGGCGTTCGTCGTAAAAACAGTGCGTGTGCCGCCGGGGGCACAAATGCTGGTACCTCTTAAACTTCGTAGGCCCTTCGCTAAGGGTGTTGGGGATCAGGGTGTTGTGCTGGGGCCGTCTAGGGCCGGGGTTAATGGGCCTCATTTAATTCCGGCCCAGACCATCGTAAGGGGGGACGAGGACCCCTTCATCGCGGTCCTCAATGTCGGGTCGCAGACAGTAGTGGTTCCCCAAGGGACTGTGCTCGCTCACGCGACGCCGGTGCCCTGCGAGGAACCTGCCGTGAACCACATTGACACTGCTGCTCGGACGCACCCGCATTCGGACGGCGATGAAGGGTGGCTCGACGCGCTTTGTGCGGGATCGACGAACCTGTCCAATTTAGAGCGCCAACGGCTTAGATCACTGCTAAAGGAATTTTCCGACGTTTTCAGTCGGAATAAATACGATTTGGGTTGTACTCACCTGCTGCGTCACCATATTGACACGGGTGACAGCGCGCCTATTCGCCAAAATCCTTTTCGGTTGAGTCCCGCCGAAAAGGACCATGTCAAATCGGCTGTCGATGACATGTTAGCCGCCGACATTATCTCTCCCTCTACCAGCCCTTGGGGAGCACCGATTGTCCTGGTTAAGAAACAGGATGGCTCGTTGCGGTTTTGCGTAGATTTCCGTCGCCTTAATAAGGTTTCGGTTGCCGACGCATACCCGCTCCCACGGATGGACGAATCGCTGGACGCCTTGGCGGGAGCGCGATTCTTCTCCACACTAGATTTACTTTCGGGATTCTGGCAGCTTCCTCTGGACGATGATTCGAAGCCTAAAACCGCTTTCCGTACACCGCACGGCCTGTTCCAATTCAACCGGTTACCGATGGGCTTACACTCAGCGCCGGCAACCTTCCAGCGGTTGATGGAATTGGTTTTGGCTGGATTGCAATGGGAATCGTGCCTGATTTATTTGGATGACGTAATTGTTTTTGGAAGAACCTTTGACGAACATCTCCAGAGGCTGCGGGCGGTTTTCCAAAGGATGCGGGCTGCTAATTTGAAATTTAAGCCCCAAAAATGCTATTTGTTTCGCGAGTCAGTGCGTTATTTGGGGCACATCGTAGGGCGCTCGGGTATTGCTACCGATCCCGCCAAAACGCAGTGTGTCAGCTCCTGGCCAATTCCGACCTCGGTGGGGGAGGTGAGGAGTTTTATTGGCTTCGCTTCATATTACCGACGGTTCGTCGCTAATTTTGCTACAATTGCCAAACCCCTACATGCTTTGACATCAAAAGGGGTTCGGTTCCACTGGGGTCGGGATGAGGAAGTAGCTTTCTGCTCCCTTCGGGATGCATTGGTGAAGGCTCCTCCTTTGACTTACCCCGATTTTTCGAGGCCGTTTTTGCTCGACACCGACGCGAGCAACACAGGTATCGGAGGCGTGCTTTCCCAGGTGGTTGATGGCGTGGAACGGGTGGTTGCGTACGGCAGTCGGGTGTTGTCTCCAGCGGAGCAAAAATATTGTGTCACCCGTAGAGAACTGTTGGCAATTGTTTTCTTCATCCAACAGTACCGCCCATATCTGTACGGTCAGCATTTCACTGTCCGTACGGATCATGCGGCACTGCAGTACGCCCTGAAGGTTCAACAGCCATCGGGACAATTGTCCCGATGGCTGGAGGTCCTCCAGGATTTCGATTTTGACACCACCTATCGTAAGGGCATTCGCCACACAAATGCGGACGCTCTGTCGCGCATGCCAACCACCTCCGAATGCGCATGCCTCCTGGGGTCGGGGCGTTGCAAGCCAGCTGGGGACATGACGGTTCCAGTCCTGGCGGCCGCCGCCGATGTTGACACATCGCTCCCCGATGAGATCGGGAAACAGGGAAGGGATTCCCTGCTTGGGTTGCCTGTGATTGAGTGGGGACGCCTCCAGATGGAGGACGCCTCCCTCCTCGCGCTGCGTCGTCGCGCCAGGGAGAGGGGGTGTGGGACGGGTGATGCCGACAATTGGGAAATACACGCGGGCTTGCTCATGCATTGGGACGGTAAATCCCACCGTCACCGGCTGGTAGTTCCTGCGGGGTTACGGGGTAAGGTGGTGTGGGCTGCTCATGAGCGCCTCCTCCACCTGGGTACCCAAAAGACCCTCGCCTCGCTCCAGCTGGATTTTTTTTGGCCGGGCATGACACGGGATGTCACGGATCTGCTGGCAGCATGCCCCCGGTGTGCGCAACGCAAACCACCAGCTCGGGAGTCGAACCCGCCGTTGCAGTCCATCACAGTCTCCAGGGTGAACGAACTCGTAGCGTTGGATATCCTGGGGCCGTTTCCCGCCACCCCTAGGGGCAATAGATATTTGCTAACAGGGGTCGAATACTTCACACGCTGGCCTATGGCCTGGCCCCTGGCAAATCAGTCGGCAGCAGCCATCGTGGACGCCTTTGTCCAAGGCTACGTCATGGACAAAGGTGCTCCGGAGCGGCTGCTGACCGACCAGGGTAAAAATTTTTCCGGGAACCTCCTCAAACAAGTCTGTGATCTCCTAGGTACAAAGAAGATTCGTACCTCTCCCTATCACCCACAAACTGACGGGATGGTCGAGCGTCTGCATCGTACCATCACGTCTATGTTGTCGCACCTGGTTTCGGAGTCACAGACCAATTGGGACTTGCAAATTCAAGGGGTCCTGGCAGCATATCGATTGGCCCCCCATGCTGCCACGGGATTTTCACCCTTCTTTCTCATGTATGGTCGCGAACATGACCCACCTGTTCGGGCACAGCTGCAGATCCCCGCGCCTCTAGGTAAAATTAAATTGGACGAGCACGTTAAATTTAACCTTCAAAAGCTAACTGAGGCGCGGGACGCTGCCATGCTCAATTCCCGCATGCGCCAAAAGGCGAATGAGCGCCTCAGACTCGCGCGCGCGCACGTGCTGCAGTGGAAGCCAGGGGACAGGGCATGGCTGCACTGTCCCCAGGTACCGCTTGCGACCTCCTCGAAACTGGTACGGCCATGGCGGGGCCCCGTCGAGGTGGTCGAGGTTTTGCGACCGCAGTGCGTTCGTATCAAGTGGGGGAGGCGCCGGTGGTTCGTTCACCCCTCTAGACTAAAACCCTTCGTTGCGGTGCGGGACTCTGCTCCACACGCGCAGGGCCAAGCATGTGAGGGGTCGACCGACCCGGAGGGTCCGCCTCTGTTGATCTCACCTGACGTCTTGCCGGTTGCCCCGCCCCCAGGTTCTCCCGGAATGACGGGCTCGCGCACATCCCTCACGGGGGATGCCGAGGGTCCCGCCACTCCAATTGCGGACTCGCCTCGGATGGGACAGCGGCCACCGAATGGTCCGCCATCTGAGGTTGGCCCTTGTGACGGGCCTGCGGCAAGGACGCGCGCTAAAATGCGCAGACTCTTATAAAAACACTGGAACGCGAACAAGAAGTGAAAACGAAACGAAAATAAGAAGAAAATTTTTTTTTATTTTTTTTGCGTTTTCTGGTACACTTTCGTGTGCTATTGTTACTGGACGCTGCGTTCGTGTGGCGCTCTTGGCGCGTTGTTGTATTATGGCTGTGTGTGTGTGTGCGTCTTGTGTGCGTGTTGTGCGTGCGCTGAGGGTTCCGGGAAATGTACATATCTTGCCTCTACGGATTTCGTATTTATTCGGGGGGGGGGGGCGCGTCGGTTTGTTCTCCCTTTAGGGGCATTGTTAGTGTTGTTGTTCAATTCTCGTTCTGTTAAATGAAAAAAATGGGGCACACACGGGGGGAGTCAAGGGGTAAAGATTCATTTGTTGAAATTGTTGCAGCCGGAACGGCTGCGAGCTATGTGGGGGGGAGTGATGTAGGGATGTTGGAGAGAGGGCCGTTATGCATGGCAGCCTATGGGAAAGAAACACAGTGGGCGGGGCTACGTGTGTGCACAGGGAGATGCCCTCTGCGACGTCCGAGCCAGACACCCTGGGGGGGGGCTGGTTCGGCGTTACGATCCCCCGGGGCCCCACCCCTCAAGGAGGGTTGGGTATAAAAAGGGGTCGTTATATGGGCTTAGTCAGTTATGTTATAGTTAAGCTAAGAAGTCGGAAGACGTCGTAGCTAGAGCCCTGGACTCCCCCTGATCGCCGCCCTTATCAGGGCCCCACGGGATCAGGCTCGAGCCAGTGGCGTGGTCCCGTGAACCAGAGCCAGTGCTCTGGGACTCCGGGTACCGAGCCCGATTACCAGTGTCGGGCCAGACAGCCTCCCCTAGCTCTTAGTGGAGGACTCAGGGGATAGGCTATGGATAGCTAGGGGTATTCCCTGAGTTATACGGGTGAGGGGGCCGCTACCCCCTCTAGTGCTGTCCTGTACTGGCAACTTGTTAAATAAATATACGTGTGCCTCAACTCCGTTGTCAAGCGTCCTCGACGGGTACTTCACATGTACTATTTGACTACCGAGATGACTGCCAGACGCACCGCTGCTGTTAGCCACTGTGCCCACTTGCTGTGTTTTATCGCCCGGTGCTCTGCTGCTCGTTGTTGTGAGGTGCTCTGCTCATTGCGATCGTCGCTCGTCCGCCCTCCTGTTTTGTTTAGGTTTTTGTTTCTAGATTTGAAGCTTTCGTGACTGCAAGGATTCATATGCTTAGGTTTTTCGGTAAAGTCACGTAGGTAAAAAAATTAATGCAGCAGTCGTACTGATGGTTCCACATGAAGACGGAAACTTGTGTTGCCTCCGAAACGTCGTGATTTTTATTTTATTTTACTTTTATTAATTTTCATTTTTTACTTACGTGACTTTACCGAAAAAAACCTAAGAATAGGTTGTTGTTGTTGCTGGAGGGCGACTGCCAGCTGAGTGAGAAACAGGACAATGGTGCACTTGGTGACATTGCATGGCAAGTTCACCAACTACACCCGTGTCATTTGAACATGAGAACAAGAGCTTCCCTGCTTGGCTGCCTCTTTCAAATGCTCGGCAGCAAATCATGCATTTGCGTTAATAATAGCCGGCATTATTTATCACGGCTTAATCACATTCACTGCTTCATTATTAACGCTACTATCAATACGTCTAAAATCGCTCACAAGTACAGCTCTTTCGCTACGGTGACATGAATTTAACCATATTCCACTTGTTCCGATTGGGCATTTTCCATCATGCCAATGAATCATACTCGTCGCCCTTGTTCGTCATCAGGCTGTCAACTCCAATCGACGCCTCCGCCAACAGGGACTAGTTGAGTCCCCCATTTGAAAATACGCGAACACCACACCGGCGTTGTGCTTTCAGCAGACAACAGGGGAGCTGCATTTGGTCACACGGCCGTCAAACGGTGCGAGCGAACCGAACGCTTAAAACTAATTTAAGCCCAAACGATGCAGAACCGTTCCAGCCACCACGGTTAACTTGTGTGTAGGCTGCCGAAATTGCCACTTACTGTATAAATAATTTCACCCATTCCACCAGTAAAAGCTTCTATCCGATGATCACATTGGGATGTTTGACCACCGCTATGAATGGGCCGTCGGCTTCATGTGCAACTAAGCCGGAGAACCCGGAGAAAACCCACCATGGATTGACACGGGGGGAGGGGGGAAACACTCAGCAAGGAAATCTGCTGGCCACACCTCGCTAGCCCTGGTAGTGAGCACCCATCAAAGCTATAACCAGGCTCGACACGGCTGAGCTTGCAAAATCTGACTAGTTTTTGGTGAATTCTGGGCGACGTGTTGATAAAATAATGATCACTCCTGACACCCACCCTCCCCGACTACACCCCATGGGCGACAATTACCAACCACCAGATGTGGAAACTGCTGTGCCTTCATTTGCACAGAAAGATTGGTGACAGAGGTGGGCCGAGAAACTTCCCAAGGCGCGGAGGGGGGGGGGGAAGCAGTCCCACAATTCAAAGTTTTTATTTGAAACAGGGCCCAACATTTGTAAACAAAAAAGCACATGAACGTATGATGGACGTACTTTGAACTGATTTCGCACCGTACCAAGCCAACCGGCGTGTCAAAGGGGAGGTGGTGGGGGATACACGGCCCTCTTCGATCTGCCACCGTTTGGTAATCAACAATCGGTCTGCCGGGGGTCACAATGACTTGGTGGTTGGGGAAACGCTGCTGCTCCAGAAATCGCCCGTTGCGCCACGTTTAACAGGATGGAGACAGCGTCGTGTCCGCTTTGGTGACCTCAGCCGCAGAGGCGAGACCCACAAAGTTCCCTTTAGCCCGAGCAGCCGCCCGCTGTCCCCCCTCTCTTGGTGAGTGGCCTTGGCCGGCCCGCCGACGTTGATGCTGCGCCGTGCCGTGATGATGCCTCAGCTACAGGGAAGAGTTGCATAGAGAACGAGCGCCTCGAAAGATCGCGCGGCCGTCGATGTTGCAAATGATGCACGACCGTGGCGGCGGTGATGACCGTGCAAACAACACATTTAAATACTGTTCAGCGGTTTTTGTTGTTCGTTTACGATTTTCACTCGCGTGTGTGCCGTTCTCTCATTTACGTAAACGAGAGGGGTGTGTTTCTGGGGCCAACGATCACCTGCAGCAGCTCATTGTCCGGGGGGGGGGGGGGGGAGTAGAATGATGACGTGCGTTAAACTTCTTTCGCGCCGTACATAGCCAACCGCGCGCATTTTTTGGTTGTTGCATTAGGCGGATTAGTTAAGTGAACGAGACCTGTGAATTATTACGGTGGTCGTGCAGTCACCGGTGCGGGGAAATGATAAAAAAACCCACAAACTTCACGTGCAAGGAAATCGAAGCCGGAAGAAACCCACGTCATGCGAACGAGCGAGCGAGCGACGCTCGAAACTTTCACCAACTTCTTCCCCCTCCCGCTACGCAGCTCAGGGGGTTGTTCCACCGACACTTGGCAAAGTCTCCGTGACCCACCCGTCCCAATTGCCAGCCTTTCACCCTTCAGCAAGCTTGGCCAAGCGCCTCGAGTGAAGACCCTCGACAGAATTCGATTAAAACGCATGTAATCCGGCACGACGGGGGTGAGGGTAGGTGGCTTACAAAAAAGTTGTGAAACTCCCCCCCCCCCCCTTTTCCGTGGGCGTCGAGGTGGTCTCGTATTTTGGCTTGCAAACGCGCGCTCCACCTGTTCCATCTGCGTGGGGATAGAGTGTTGTCCCCTCGCGTGTGTGGGTTTACTCCGAGTGCTCCAGTTTCCTCCCACATGCAAACACTCGTGAATTGGACCGATAACACCTTCATATGTAGAGGACTGCAGACCATTGAGAGAGGGCGGGGGGGGGATTAGCACATGATCAGTTCCGGCTACTTTTCCCCGCTCATCTGGAATTCCTCGTGCGCCTCAAGAGTCATTCATCCTTGCGCACTTCGAGAGCGAATACTACTGTGCGGAGGTGCATTCCAAGTTGACAAAACTGTTGTTATAATTATTAACCAGGCGAAAATCCCAGATAGCTTCTGAGAACGAGCACATTTCTGACGATTTGGTCGCAGGCGAGTGGAATGCCAATTAAACACTCCCAGAGCAGTGCTTCTCAACTCCAGTTCTCACGAACCACCACGCGACAGCTCCTCCCCCCACCGATTTCCAATCATCAGGTGCGTGCAGTGCCTTAATTTGCATACAAATTGAAAAAACTGGTTATCACAAAGAGGCGGACTGTGGGCAGGCAAGGGGCGGGCACACGCAGACTGAAGTTGAAAAACACCGTTGCTCATTAACCCGTATAACATATACACCTTTATGGATTTTAAAGAGACACATTTTGCTCCATTATTTGTATATAACAGTCAAACGATGCATTAGAAAATAATTTTAAATTATGAAGCCGATCCCAGATGCAGCAATTGCGCGGCGCTTACACTAAAACAAGGAGTGCTGCGTCGAAATGAAACATCACTTCCTGTTCTGTATTTCAAACATTTACAGACTCAAGTCAAGCGGTAGCAACAATTTGTTCACGCGCGCGAACTCTGGGACCGGTTTCGCCCTTCTAGGGCTCATCAGCAGAGTCGGGCTTGCTGAACAAATCCTGCTGTACCGGATGTTATTGGCAAGTGCTCTCCCCTCCGCAATGGGCCGTCAGCGCAACAACAACAAAAACTTCCGTATTAAACTTCACCAAGAGCGGTAACAGAGATTTCTGGGCGATGCAAAATTGTCAAGTCAGCCGCTGGGAAGGTTTTCGCGGTTTGGACATCCTGTGAAAAAAAAAAGCTTCATAGCTCATCGGATTTCTCCAGGATAAATGTTCCGATTCTGGTTTAGCTGCCGTACAGCTCTCCGATGCGTTCTCGGGTCGACCCACGTGTTGCTGCATGTACGTTGAACTTCTTTCGCACCGTACATAGCCAACCGTGCTAATTGTTCGGCACGACGTCCGACGTTTCGCTCCACGTGCTTCTTCAGGAGCTTGGCTAAATACGTCGCCTATTGTGCTGCGCTTCGCGAAGAATGCTCAAGAGCGGCTGCACTCAACGATGATTCGTTACAAAGTGCCCTGTGCACTTCAGATGTTGTAACTGTAAAGTTACACAGCATATGCTATACATGGCGTCTGTAAAAGTATCATCCATGATTAAAGCATAATGGCGTTGTGGGTAACATCGTCATCGAATACTATTCCGACCCTCCACTGCGGTCCATCACATTCCTGGCCACGGCTAACGCCAGCAGCGCGTGATATATCAACCGGTCCTGGGTCACACTCTCACTTCACCAAACCACATGGACCAGTGTGGTGAAATACGCTGAAACAATCCCCTAAGACCGACACGGCGTACAGACGACTTTATCCAGCAGTGGACTAACAAAGAACTGTAGCAGTGGACTAATATATAACTGTAAACATATTCTTGGTTCTTTCGGTAAAGTCACGTAGAAGGGAAGAAAAAAATTTTGGTTTCATATTATAATTATTTTATTATTTCCCTTCTACGTGACTTTACCGAAAGAACCAAGAATATCAATCCCTGCAGTCACAAAAGCTTTAAATCAAAACTGTAAACATACGAGAGCAGTGTGAGCTCGTTTTGACGAAACCATAAATGGACACACACACTTGGTCTTGTGAAGATTCTACCATGCGAGTCTCATCCCTCTGAGCCTCCGCGTGTCCGCCGCGGTGTTGGAGCATCCTCCCAGGTGTTCAGCATCTCGGCTGTGATTGTTTTGAACGCTTCTGTTTAGTGCCATTGAGAGATCGCTCAAGATATTTGGGTGTTTTTGTTTTGTTTTGCCAAACGCATCTCTCGCATAACCCCCAAACAATCAACCTCGTTCGCAGCTGTCTAAACGAGAGAGGCCGAGAAAACTCGCGATGTGAGAAAACAGTGGAGTGAAAAATGACCTCGTCGGACGAGAGTCGAGGCGAGGAGAGAACTGTGGCTCTGTTAAAGTTACGCGGGCGAGCCCGGGGACAGGGTCCCCCATCACTCGGTGATGCGACACAAAGATTGGAACAAGGAGGAGTGGGGGAAGTGAAGACGGTAAAAAAATCAAGGGTGGACAGATGCAGGGGTAAAAACAAATCGAGAAGAAAAAGAATCGAGATTGGACGTATGCAGCGATACTGAATCTAGAGAGAATCACCCCGGAAATTGGTTCGCCTCCACCATCACCGATGAGTTGGGGGAACGGAGAGACGACGACGATGATGAGGAATAATAAATAATTAAACGCTATGGACACCCTAGAAGCGATAAAAGCAAGCTCCAAGAATACCTGTTGCGAGCCACCACACGTAGCCAGCGCCACAGGCCCATTTTCACCAGTCCTCTTTTTAAAACCATAACCTCAAATGTGCGCTCGCACGCCGCGTGCTAATTCCGTCTTTGTCTTTTTTTCCTTTGCCAATCGTCGGTCGCTTAGATGGTTGTCCTTTGCTCGCAATTTCCTGCTTCGCAGACGCACGTTTGTTCCTTTGTGCAAGTGGGAGGACGAGGATGAGCAGGAGGAGGGAGAGGAGTACGGTCAGAAAAAGGCCGGAGCAAAATTGTGCGATTCAACAGGTTGGGGGGAAGGGAGGGGGGCGAGGCGAGAGGAAACAAAAACGAGAGCTAGAGTTCTACTCGAAAGCCGTCGATGAACGGAAGCCGAGTGGGCACGTTCGTCTTGTAATCCATGTACTGCTCCCCGAAGAAGTTGAGCAGCGTGAGCTCCTCGTCCTCGATCCGCTCCCGGAAGAACCGCCACGAAGCGACGGTGTAGCCGACCAAGCACAGCGGGTTGCACAGGATGATCTGACGGGGGGCAGAGCGAGAGCAGTGGCAGTGGCAGTAGCGGCGGCGGGAGCAGCAGCAGTGGTAGTGGCGGCGGCAGCGGCGGCGGCAGCAGCAGCAGCGTCTCGTGAAAATTCGCCAAAGCAAACAAGGGGCGTGCCTCTACGACGTGTTGTCGAGGAGTTGCACCGCGCTCTTGTTTCAACGCGATTTTTACGACACGTTTGTGTTTGGGGAACCGCTTTAGATATACGCTGGGGAGAGGTAGCGGTGAGTGCCAAACGCTTGCCACTACCCCTTCTTCCCCAGCACGCCGACGGGACGCACCTGCGTGCCGATGCTCCAGTAGAACCAGCCCACGTAGGAGGGGTGCCGCGAGAAGGCGTAGACGCCGCGCGTGACCAGCTGGTGGCTCTCGGAGCGCTCGCTCTGCACGATGTGGCTGAAGTTGGAGCCGGCCGTCAACATGGCGGCCTTGCGCAGCGCCTCGCCTCCCACGACCATGGCCAGCCCCGCCACGCTCAGCCACCGCACGTCTTTCAGGCCTGGTGAGCGCCGGCCCCAATGCAAACCCGCCAGCCAGCCGCGGAACACCCAGAATTGCGTGAGAAATTCATTACTTGCTACTGAAGAACGTTATAGGCAAAATTGCTAGATGTTGACACCGCAAACTCCCAATATATAGCAGGCATCAGGGTCGGGATTGAACCCACGACCTCTTGTAGGCACCCTTGGGTGCGTGGTGGTCGCGTGGTGGTCGCGTGGTGGACACGCACCGGGGAAAAGGAGCATCTCCAGGGTGAACTCCACCCAAGAGGCGACGGCGGCCAGCTTGTACTCCAGGCTATGGTTGAGCAGGAACGAGTCGAGGTTGAGGCTCCGCGGGTTGATGAGCGCCGTCACCAGGTACTCCGAGTAGTGGAAGAAGCTCAGCGAACACACGTACCTGGGCACGCGGGATACAGGGTCGCGCGCACGGGGCGACGGACCGGAACACGACACGCACCTGTAACGTGCACCGGTGTCTACTTTATCGAGGGCGATATTGGCACGTAAAATAAACACTGATCGATTGATACCTGCTTAAACAGGGAACAGAGCACGCATACCTACTTGCACACAACTGGGGATGCACTGGGTTTACACTTAGCAACAAACGTGGATGAGCGAATGTATAAAAATTAACCCGTAAAAACAAAGTTTTTTACTATAAATCCTTTATATGCGTGGCATCGGAGCGGCTAGAGTCCTCTCGTCCTCTGGCTTGAGATGGCTGCCACCTATGGGTCAGATGATTGTCTGGCAGCATTAAACAATTGGCAATTAAATATTTAAAACAAATTCCCTAAACAGTGTAAAATTTTGGAAAAAATTTTCACGAAAATGCATTGTCATGCACAACGAGTCTGTGTGCAAAATGTCAGCTCGATTGAATCACGGGAAGTGGGTTAAAAAACGACCGAAAGATTTGCTCGGTCCTAAGCAAGCAAGCGAACTTAATATAAAGGATTTAAAAAGTAGAAACACACCGCGCACCGACTATCCATAAAGGTAGAGTACGTGGGGGCATGGGCAGGACACATTACAAGGAGGGACGATGGACGGTGGCCAAAACGAATGGCAGCCAAAAAAGGAAACGCACCCGAGATGACGTTCGCTGCAGAGATGGAGCAATGAAATGTGCCCGCGTGCAGACGCCGGAAAGATTTGTTGCTTCGCAGGGCCGTGAAAGATGGCGACGGCTTTTGGGAGGCCTTCAGTGGCTAAACCATGGCTGATGATGAATGGGATTCGCCCATAAACCCCTCTGTATCAGCATGGATCAGCGAAGTCTCACTGTATTAAGCCTGCCTCATCCGGCACCCTCAAGGGGTAACGTGGGAGGCCATTTACTAGATGGGCAGCATTGATTGCATCTGATTACAAATGTGTTGCAGTGTAAATATTTGTTATATTTGTTCGATTTAGATGGTTGTGTTGCATGTGTTGAGAACAAGATGAAATTAAAAGGGCCTCGATGGAGAAGCATCTCTGGTGCCGGGCAGGAGTAAGGAGAGACCAGGGGTGGGATTGGGGGAGGGTGCAGTGGAACGAGAAACGAGGGCAGTGGAAGTGACTTTGAGAAGAGGTGCAGAAAAGAGGTTCCACGGAGGGAGATAATCCGAGCGACCTGACCCCCACGCAATAATGGGACTTCTGGCGTCGAAGAGGAACGTGAAATGTCCGTGTTTTATTTTGCAGGCAAAGCGTTGTCAATACCAGCCAAAATGCTTCCAAGATGTGTTGCTCAAACTGAGAATCAAACCGCAGCCAAACGCGAAGCCCAGGAAACATGCTCTGACTGCCACCTGTGAGGCACACACACACACAGCACACACACACAGCACACACACACAGCACACACACACATACACAGCACACACACACAGCACACACACACAGCACACACACACAGCACACACACACACAGCACACACACAGCACACACACAGCACACACACAGCACACACACACAGCACACACAAGTTCAACACCAAGTGGGCATCTCTTCCGTGCCTGTTTCCCTTTGTCCCGTGTGTGTGTGTGTCTATGCCAACCCCTCTCATCTCCTGTCTCTCTTTCACAGTGACCCCCCGCCCAATGCTGCCATGCCTACTTATCGGCCCGCACCTCCGATTGGTACGGTTGGCTACGTTAGGGTGTGAAAGAAGTTCAACATACATACTGTACAAAGATACAATTATTTCAGAATCAGAGTATTTATTTATACTGGAGGAATTCGATGAGTTATAAAGCTATTTCTCATAGATGTCCAATAGGGGCGGATAAGAACGCGTTAACAATACAAAAACACGATAGTAGTAAAAAGTACAAAAAAGGTAAACAAATCACTTAAAAATAAACAAATACTATTATTTTATATTACCAGATAAAAGTTCACCGAGGTATTAGCTTATTTGTCAGAACCTCACCAAAAGGCAAAAAGAGTGAGATGTGGGCTGAGTGATGAAAACATATATTTGTACCGGCTAAGACCCAATGAGATAGAAAGATATTTAATTTTCAGAAGCGACCTGGCCACAAACGAGAGCTCAAGAAAGTGGCTGCTCATCGCGTGGAGATTTACAGCGGCAAGAACACATTCCTGTGGAGGGAGCTGGTAGGAACGTTGGGTTGCTCGGTCAATGGCCAGGGTCAACGACGGCGTGGTGTATTCCGCAAATATGCCCGATTGTGAGGGCGGGCACAAGACGGCGTGAGTAGGTTAAACGTTGAGTTTTACAAGGGCACCCCGGGGTGACCAGCCCCTCCTCACCCAGCCCCACCCCCCACCCTTCCCACCCAGCCCCTCCCCACCCAGCCTTTCCCCACCCAGCCCCTCCCTGCACGACGGACACAATAATCCCCTGTGGGCTGGTGTAACCAGGAGGTTCCTACCAGTATGATACAAACTACCAGTATGACACAAGCCGGCGTGAGTAGGTTAAACGCTGAGTTTTATAAGGGCACCAAGGGGTGACCAGCCCCTCCCCACCCAGCCCCACCCTCCCCACCCAGCCCCTCCCCTCTCCACCCAGCCCCACCCCTCCCATTTTTGGATGCACAACGGACGGACGGACACAATAATCCCCTGTGGGCTGGTGGAACCAGGTGGTTCCTACCAGTATCATCCAAATGATCTCAATGCACAGCCTCTTCCCAAGCCCGAACTGGGCCTCTTAGGCGGCTGTCCTCCTGTCCCACCAACCCCCGAGCCACGTGGCCACGTTTCTCGCCCCACGGCCTCACGCCCATCCCGGGAGGTCAGTCCGGGTCAACTTAAGACTCGCAAATGATGACACCCTTCCGGCTGGTGGGGCCATCATCACAAGGACAAAGATCCCCCGTGTAGCCTTGACAGACTGTTGGGGCAAGTGCTGTTAGCGAGACACCTATGAAGGCCGGAACTGTGCACGAAAGGGGGTGGCCAGCGCCAAAAACCGGCCGCCTTTGTCTCCCCAGTGGCGATGTTTTTACACACCGCACCACGTACCCATTTGAAGCTGAGTGGACCTAGAGGGAGGCCTATGTACCGGTACAAGATAATTGTCACCGATGTTGGCCGTGAGCGGCAAATCGAACTCGGGTCGCCGGGTTCGTGGCGCGCTAACCACTCCACCACCGCTCCCCATCATCATCAACACATCGGCACGCACAGTCAATGAAGGCACTGCCTGACAGCGACAGAACTTAGCAGGTTAACATTACAAGTGTTCACCAGCTCCAACTCCGACGGGATGTCACCCGATGAGTGGGGGGGATTTAAAAGATCGACTTTGACGGCTGCCGCTACGAAGCGAGACCCCCCGAACGCCCGAAGCGAAACGAATAAGCCGGGCCGCGTTCAGCCCACGGGCAGTAGTTTCACCCCCCCCGCCACCACCACCACCACAACCACCACCACCACCAGCAGCGGCGGTGTTTCCCTGCTCGCTAGCCGCAGGTTCCGCCAGGAAAGAAAGGTGTATCGGGGCCTGTCTCCGCACTTGGTAGAGGTCGTGTCGGCCGCGGTAGGTGACCAGCAGCCCCGCGTTCACCAGCGCCAGGTAGACGACCGAGGCGACGCGGCCTCCGAGGCCCGACCAGGCCGCGTCGAAGGCCAGGGGAAGGGCCACCACGCAGAGGCCCAGCGCGAAACATTTGGCGCTCACGAGGCCCTCGCGACCCGGTGCCATGGCGTTGCTGCTGGCTGGGCTAGGTTGGGCTGGGCCGGGCTGGGGTGTGCTGGGCTGGGCCGATTCCTCCGCTGGATTTGTTTTAGCTTCTCCCTCCGCTATCTCTTCCGGCTTGCGAGCTGTGCAACGTGAAAGTTGCGACTGCCAACAAACGCGCCACGAAACAACAACAGCAGCAGCAGCGCCGCCACGTGGAGGTGGAGGTGGTTGGTGGCGGCGGAGCTTTCGCAGAGTGTACCCCAAAACCCGGAACTAGATCTCGGTGGTGGTGGGTGGGTGGGTGGATTGGAGGAGAGCGGGATTGCAAAGTGTACCCCAAAACCCGGAACTAGATCTCGGCGGTGGTGGGTGGGTGGATTGGAGGAGAGCGGGATTGCAAAGTGTACCCCAAAACCCGGAACTAGATCTCGGCGGTGGTGGGTGGGTGGGTGGATTGGAGGAGAGCGGGATTGCAAAGTGTACCCCAAAACCCGGAACTAGATCTCGGTGGTGGTGGGTGGGTGGGTGGATTGGAGGAGAGCGGGATTGCAAAGTGTACCCCAAAACCCGGAACTAGATCTCGGTGGTGGTGGGTGGGTGGGTGGATTGGAGGAGAGCGGGATTGCAAAGTGTACCCCAAAACCCGGAACTATATCTCGGCGGTGGTGGGTGGGTGGGTGGATTGGAGGAGAGCGGGATTGCAAAGTGTACCCCAAAACAGCTGCCAGTGTGGGAAGTTTCATAATAGGATTATTTATTTGTAATTGAGGCATCCGATGAGACGTAAATCCATAATCGCGTCGATTACCCCGCGTGTTTTGTACAGGGAAATTGAGTTTTCAGGTCCATACGGCGTACAGTCGTTTCAATACGGGCAAAAACATGTTTTTGTCTATTTGTGTGTGTTTCTCCCTTGTGATGGGACTTTGTCGGATGCACGTTAAGATTTATAATGGCACGGGGTGACCAATAAGGTTTGAATTGGTCTGTAATAAGGTAAGCAATTGATAAGGGGTTGACAGATATGGCAAAGCTCTTTTTTCACAGATGTCAAGTAGAGGCCGGTCAGAACGTTACAACAATAAAACAATATGAGTGCAAAATATAGGAAATGTAAACAAATCACTTACAAAACTACATACAAATAAAACTAAACTTTTTAAAATATTCTATGGGTCTTTCGTTAAAGCCACGTAGATAGAAAAATAATACAAATATCACGACGTTTCGATCGCAACACAAGCAATCGTCTTCAGGTGAGAGAGAGAAAAAGCTGCTGAGATAGGTGCATCAAGGTAGGTGGGTGGAGCTAGAGATGGTTCAACCACAGAGGTTAGCCTGTAGAGTGCCACCAAAGCTGTGGAGGTGGCCACTGTATTGTGTGTAGCCCAAGGGTAAGTGGGCGGGGCTAGAGATGGTATTTGCATGTAAATGTAAGATCGGAGGGCGCCCTGAGGCTGTGGAGGTGGCCATTTTATTGTGAGAGATTAGCATGTCAATGTAAGAGAAACACCGCAACGGTGAATGTGTAGTGAGACATCCAGCCTGGCAATGCAACTCAGAGAGTCGGAAATAACAGCTAACATCGGCAGGTCAGATGGAAACATAGCCAGTTATGACTTAAACTGGTTAATTACGTCCTTCCAATAATTGCTCAGTTTGTACCCATCTTCTCGGTTGAAATTGTGTTTGTGTTTATATAACTGGATGGCTTCGTGAACGAATCTTTGTTGATAGCCAGTAGGCTTGCAGAGTACCTTCGTCTTGGAAAATCAATTTCGTGTGTGCCCACAGCATTAAATCAATGATCAGCCACGGCCAAGGCATTGGTCCTACCGTGTTTCAGATCTGCCTTATGTTCACGAACACGGTCCAAGACATGCCGCTTAGTTTCCCCAATGTCACTACTGCTGCAGCCACAGCTTATTTTGTAGACACATGGTGAATTTAATGGCTGGGTGTATGGAATTGATGTGGTTGAATAATTGGCGCAGTGCTGGTAGGCCATGTGGCCAGATGACGAACGTGTCATCTACGTATCTCTTCCACAAGGAAGGACGTAGGATGGATGCCTGGATGGCATCTGTCTCAAATTTTTCCGTGAAAATATTGGCTACAACTGGAGATAAGGGAGAACCCATTGGGGTACCTTCAACTTGTTTGTAGAATGTTCCATTCCAGGTGAAGTAAGTGTTGGTGAGGCAGTGTCTAACCAGGGCAGGTACATCAGCATTCAGTCCTCGTTGGACCAAATCTTCAATTATTGCAATGGTGTCAGGCACAGGAACTTTGGTAAACAAAGATAGCACATCTAAACTGACAAGCAAGTCACCTGAAGATAGTGGGCCTCGTGTGGAGTGGCGTCACGCGGGGTGGGCCTCGTGTGGAGTGACGTCACGCGGGGGGGGGGGGGGGCCTCGTGTGGAGTGACGTCACGCGCGGGACGGACAGACATTTCTGGGTGATTGTAGTCGGTAATAACCGGCCTGGTGGCTTACTCAGCAGTCGAGCGCTCGCATCGCAGTTCACATCCTGGTTTGGGGTTCATTTGGGCCATCATCCCTCGAGGGTCAATTAAACAAAAAGTTTTTTGGTTTGGCCATGTTTGTTTGTTGTAGTACGGAGTAAGACTGATGGCCTTAATCTAAGTTGTCTTGTGGTTGTTGTTGTTGTTGTTTGACTTGCATCCCACTGGGATTTTTGCACACAGCGTGGGTGTACGGTGCTTTTTCTGCAATGTTTTGCTGTCTTTTCTTGGATTTTCTGTTTGCACTTATCACATTAACTTTAAGATGTTTTCTTGTTCATATTTTTTGTTTGTTGCGGTTGCACCCGATTCAAGAGCCGAATGGCTCACAGGGCTATACCTAATAAATGAACTTGAAACGAATATCGATTTGTGGTTGCCATGTGGATAAACTCCCCCGCCATAGGAAGATGGAATTTCCATCACTGGCTCAGAGCCGTAATCGCGAGATGAGCACACACAGCCTCAATGTTCATTTGAACAAGAAAGATATATGGATACTTATCTTTCGTTATAAAAAGGTAAGAGTTTACAAAGTCCACCCCAACAGTGTCAGCCACGGGACGGAGGAAATGGCTATGTGGGTGGTGCGGATGGGAGAGAAACTTTAGATAGTGTACCCCAATAGGGTAATAAAAATACTGTGCTGGTGGCGGAGCACATTTGCAAAGTGCACCCTAATACTGCAACACCACCTGGGCGAGCAGCCTTACAGAGTTGTGCCCCAATGCAGCAATAACATCAGGGTGGGCGAATGCATAATTTTACAAAGTGTACCCTAACTACACACTTTTTGGCGTCATCTGGTCCAACACCAATGGAGACTAGGCTCTAAGAAAAGCTGTCTCGGGTGTGGACCAATCAACTTCAAGGACAGTTCATATCATTACCATCATCAGAGTTGTTTCTTTTTGTTTGCATTTTGACTGCTTGTGTTGTGGTTATTGCAAACATGATGCCTTGTATAAAGGTGTCAGTTTTTGTATCAATTGAAAGGGTAAAAACCTATTACTATTACTATAATGTACCCTAACTGACACGAGCACATCCGGGTGGTGGAGCAACTTTATGAAGTGGACACAAACAGCAATGCTGCACGGTGTCGGGGAGAAGAACCCACTTCCCCCAAGTGCAGTAGGAGTAGGGTATTGATGGTAAGCTATGTTTACGACCCTACTCTTTGGTTCTTACGGTGAAGTCACGTAGGTGAACAAATAAAAAAATAATAAATAATAATAAATCAAAGTACATTTAATGACATGGGGCAATTTGTTTTTCACCTACGTGACTTTACCGAAAGAAACAAAGAGTATGGATCCTTGCAATTAATAAAATTAATAAAAGTAAAATAAAAAATAAAATAAAAATCACGACGTTCTGGAGGCAACACAAGCTTCCGTCTTTAGTTGGAACCGTCACAGCACGATAGCTGTATCAAGTGAATAATTAAAAAATTTTACCTACGTGACTTTACCGAAAAAACCCTAAGAATATGAATCTAGAACATATCCACGACCTTGGAAGCGGAAGGGCCTCTGCGGCCACTTTGAAACTGAGTGAGTGATCGTTTCCCGCCATGCGAATGGTTCTCGAGATGTGTGGTGGTGCCACCTGGCGGGTGATGCGCGGCATTGCAAAAGCGACAGCGCGACAGAGGGCGACATTTAAACACATTCCTGCTGCGGAGGGAGCTGGTAGGAACGTTGGGTTGCTCGGTCAATGGCCAGGGTCAACGGCGGCGTGGTGTATTCCGCAAATATGCCCGACTGTGAGGGCGGGCACAAGCCGGCGTGAGTAGGTTAAACGTTGAGTTTTATAAGGGCACCCCGGGGTGACCAGCTCCTCCTCACCCAGCCCCACCCTACACACCCAGCCCCTCCCCACCCTCCCCACCCAGTCCCTCACCACCCTCCCCTACCCACCCAGCCCCACCCTCCCCACCCAGCCCCTCCCCACCCAGCCCCACCCCTCCCACCCCCACCCAGCCTCACCCTCCCCACCCTCTCCACCCAGCCCCTCCCCACCCTCCCCTCCCCACCCAGCCCCACCCTACCCACCCAGCCCCTCCCCACCCTGCCCTCCCCACCCATGCCCCTCCCTCCCCACCCAGCCCCTCCCCACCCTCCCCTCCCCACCCAGCCCCACCCTACCCACCCAGCCCCTCCCCACCCTCCCCTCCCCACCCAGCCCCACCCTCCCCACACATCCCCTCCTTACCCAGCCCCACCCCTCCCACCGCCCACCCAGCCCAATCCTCCCCACCCACCCCTCTCCACCCAGCCCCACCCCTCCCATTTTTGGATGCACGACGGACGGACGGACACAATAATCCCCTGTGGGCTGGTGTAACCAGGAGGTTCCTACCAGTACAAGGATGTGTGTGTGGAGGGGGGTGACCCGCCCTGTGCATTGATTCATTCCCTCTGTAGGACGGGCTGGTACCAGCTTGCGTTTGGCAGCAATATGGTTTTTGGCTTCAGGAGGGGGTTCGTGAAGTTTTGCTGTTCCTCCTCCGTTGACGGAGCGCAGACCACAGTGGTTGACTACGTGGGTCCATATTTTGGGTTGCAATGCCACAATGACACTTCAATGGCTTGCCTTTTTTGTTTCATTCATGGAAGGAGATGCGAACATTTGGCCTGTCGATGCTCTGATGGTGACACTGGCGTCGTCGAGGAATGTTAACCCTAGGAGGTACGATATTTGGGTCTCGAATGAGGTACTGTACCGTGAAAACTGTTTAGAAAAGTTTCAGTTAATATTTGCATTTGTCAGTCCCCTGTTAATTCTGCTTGCAAGGGTTTTAAACTTGCCAAAATAGCTTCCGGCTCAGACTTGCCTGGTTCGTGCAGACTTCCCTTTTACAACCATCAGCGAGGGGTGAAAACTCAACATGTCAATGACAGGGGGTGAGTCTACTCGGATGGTTGACTACGCACAACGTGATATTAATTGTATCTGACTTGGAGAGATTAAGGACTAAGTTGAACCCCAGACCGTGGTTTAGAACTTGCAACTATCAAGCTTCAGAGTTGTTGGCTTGATGCACTGTGCCATGTAGATAAACTAAGGGGCGTTAACATTCAAGTGTATCATTATGACTTCAATCTTCTTGGGTTTGGGCAGGGCATGTCGCGAGACGGGATAATGGACGATGGTCAACAGTGGCAGCCAATGAATATAATGGGGCTGAGAGGACATCTGCCTGGTGGTGGTGATTAAATCAGCTCGTTTGCAGGTGCTCACTGGATTGTTACATTGCAGAGCCGTGATAGCTTGGGAAGACTTTCATACAGCGGTGTGGATTGACACGGGCCCATGATGGTGATTGTGACTCCACTGTCCACCCACGTGAAGCCAACCCATCATGGATAGAATTGTATAAACACATTCCTGCGGAGGGAGCTGGTAGGAACGTTGGGTTGCTCGGTCAATGGCCAGGGTCAACGGCAGCGTGGTGTATTCCGCAAATATGCCCGACTTTGAGGGCGGGCACAAGCCGGCGTGAGTAGGTTAAACGTTGAGTTTTATAAGGGCACCACGGGGTGACCAGCCCCTCCCCACCCAGCCCCACCCCTCCCACCCCCACCCAGCCCCACCCTCCCCACCCCTCCCACCCCGCACCTGTCCTGGCACAGGCGCTGTGGTGATGTCACCGTCACTTAGTGGCAAATGGCGGGTATTGGTACTATACACTATATACTACACTACTATACACTACATTATACACTACACATTGGGCTCCATGGAGGCCGCGTCGTTAAGCGATTCGTCGTTAACAAGGGTGCTCGTTAAGAGGGGTTCTACTATACACTCCACTATACACTACACTATACACTACATTATACACTACACTATACACTACACTATACACTACATAATACACTACACTATACACTACACATTGAGCTCTATGTAGGCACTACACTACTATACACTACACTACACACTACATTATACACTACACTATACACTACATTATACACTACACTATACACTACACATTGAGCTCTATGTAGGCACTACACTACTATACACTACACTACACACTACACTATACACTACACTATACACTACACTATACACCACATTATACACTACACATTGGGCTCCATGGAGGCGCGTCGTTAAGCGATTCGTCCTTAACAGGGGTGCTCGTTAAAAGGGGTTCTACCGTATAGCTCAGAGGGCATTGCCCGCTAAAAATAAAAATAAATCTACGTCGAGTACAAGTTTAGTTTCAATTAAATGCAAACAATTAAACTTCCATGACGTCACGCACGCGGTGTAGGGGGTGGGGTGCGGCGACCAGACCTGCCCCCCCCTCCTCCCTTACCCCCACCTCGCGGATGACATCATCAGCGAGTGACGTCACGTCCGCCCCTGCATAGCCGCTCGCCTTGGCCAGGAAACCCCGCGCGCTGACAACGCCCTGCCCCTCCACTCGTCGGTGAGCGGCCGTCCGCCATCGGGGTAACAATTTAAATCGTTTACATCAACGACAACGACCACCCCAAGACGACTCGTGCGTGCCGTCGACAAAGGTGAAGACGAAGTGAAGCAGTCGAGGTGAGCGTCGGAGTTTGTGTTGTTCGTACCCGTTGAATTGTCGTGAAAAGCGATCGGGGGGGCGTTATATGTGGACAGCCTGCACTAGGCCTGGGCTGTGTGGTGGTGGTGGTGTGGGCGATTTCTATTTTTTTAGCGTCGAGTTTGTTTCGTTGGAGTGTAAAGACAACGTCACTGGGTGTTAAACGTTTAGTTTGCGGTGGGGGTGTTTACCTTTGTGTGTGTGTGTGAGGAGATCGTTGTTGTAAGACTGCGATACGAGAGAAGAGCTGTTGAGGAGGTTTTATGCTTCAGGAATTATTAAGACCGGAAATGTTTCGGCGCCGGGGAGACATTTGGGTTTAGAAAGCCGCGTCGTGTTAAAACGTAAGGATATAAAATAGGTTCTATGTATATTCAAGTTGTGTTTTAACCCCCCCCCCCACCCCACACCATAATACCTCCGTATCAACGCGTCATGAGTTTGGGTACAATATCGAATTTACGTTCATCCGCGCCTCGTCGTTGACATGGGAGTCGCCCTTTCCTATAGCCAACAAACCCAGCAGCGTTTGTTTTAACCAAGCTTGACGGCAGCTGATGAGACACTAAACGTTTAATCCTGCCCAAAGTGTATCTGCTTGAACAAACGATGGATAATATTGGGCTGGAAAACCAATAGGCTGATAGACTAAAACACATTTTTGTTAAATGTGGGGATACAGAACGCAGATCGGCCTAAATAAGCTTTCATTCCCCGCATAGTCGGTCCACTGATTTTGTACCTGTACAGCTGATCTTTTTTGTCGATCTACTGCTGGATGAGGGCCGACCCCCCCAACCCCAGGTTGGTCACGGGGGTTGTTTGAATCGTACATAACCACAACCGGTCAATGCTGTTTGGTTGTAGGATCGGATCGAATATCAATCTCTCCACTTGTGTTTGCCGTGGGCAAGAGTCAAACTTGGGTCACCAGGTGTATATAGGACAATCGGCTTACCAGGCGTCACCGCTTTACCCCCCCAAACATGACAACCGTTTCACAAGAAGTTGAAGGCGGTGGGGGTGAATGGAAACCCGAGAGGTACAGTACTTTATGTTGATGTACTGTCCTCCACTGTCAAACACGTAGTCCCGCAGCGGCAAGAACGATCGTCGTTAATCATCTAAGCCGTGTTCAGGCTCACAACCAGCTGAGCTTCCAAAATCTGATGAGATTAGACCAAAAGGGAGCACCGATTTATCTTTAACCAAACCATGTTAAAATCAGATTTGAATTCGTACTTTATAAATTAGTTAATCATATTGGCTAAGTTTAGCTGATTTAAAACCGAATTTATGCTTTCCCACTCGGCGTTGAATGAACACAGGTTAAGATCAACCGATTTTTCATTTGGATAAACAAAGATTTAAACTAGAAAATCACTCGAGATTAAACACCTGATTAGCCAGTGGCCAGAATTTTACGAAAACCAGGTTTATGCATTCCCCAAGAAACGGTTTAAATTACAACCAACCTCAAGGAGGTAGTTTAAAAAAAACCGGTCAAACTTATCTCGTTAAACAGCTGTTCTTTTGATTGAATACCTTGATAATTTTCAGTGAAAGAGCCAAAAATATCCAGTCTCCAGCACTGTAAAAGATGTAACCACACGGTTACCTTAGTCCAATTGCACAGCCCGTGTCCCGTGTTGTTCAAGATGAGTTTGAAGCCTCACCAATGAAAGGTTATCACGCTCAACAGTCGTCACTTTGCCATCACTAATTTAATTATACCATCAATGTAGTTACCTCAAAAGATTGCAATATCTATTTTTTTCCCCCCACTAATCTTTGACCTCGTTTTGGACCGGCATACACACACACAGTTTATATTACAATAATAATGACCACTGTTTATTTTTTAAAATCCTCACCGAGGAGGGTTCTGCATCATTAATATGTTTGAATAATTGCGGTTATTGGCATCTTAGCTGTGTGGGAGGAAACCAAAGAGCGCTCGGGAGCGCACCCCGGGGCATGTGAAGTGATTGCGCTAATAGGTCTGCACAGATGGATTCCATCGTCTCCCTTTACTGTCATTTTCTGGGCTCACCTTGCAGCCCCAGTGGGTTTGGGAGTGCCACAATTGTGGGATCCAACCAACCCTCGCCTCCAAAGGTCCGGATCATAGAGGCGTGTGCCACCACGCCCGGCTTGGCAATAATACGAGGTGTTTGCTCTTTTTGTTGGCGTCAGTTGCGTTTATTAACACTGTACCTCGAATGGCAAGCGTTTTAAAGTGTAAATGCCGTCGTAGGTTAAAGCAAATAAGAGGTTTACCATTTCACAATTTTTATTGTCAGGTCCTTTGTCACTTGTAGAATATCACGCTCTTTGTCAATTGACTGCTCGATGGTGGCCCCTCTACAGCGTGTCGTCACGGGAATTCTTTGACCACATGTCACCAAGCTGGTCATTGCGGGTTGGGTGAAAGACGAGTTTACATATCACTTTCCACTGATGAGCATTAATGGCCAATATTGACCGGATTGTCTGAATCGAGCCTAGGTCTTCTCGTACGTTGCGCAGTGCACTAACCATTGCTATACTGCTCTACCCGTTGTGTACAACATGGCATGAGCAAAAATGTGTAAAATCTCAACGCAGTCACACAGAAATTGTACGGTTTATTAGGTGTGGCAGAGCAAAGAGTAAATGTGGTATATAAAGGTTACATAAGACGTGTTTAAAGTTTTTATTACAAACCGGTTTTGTCGAGGTCTTTTCCAGTTCAGACCAAGAAGACTGTTAGAGTATAATGAGATGTTTACTGAGATAACTGGACAGAATAATGGCTTGTCAGAGGAGATGAAAGGAAAGGCAGTAGAGTAGTTATTCTTTCTTTAAAACTCCTTTGTGTAGTACACTGCAACACTTCTCCCAACAACTATAACGAAAATAATCAGCTTTTCCTCACTGAAAACTGAAAAGGTCACTTAGTAGTTTCACTCATTCTTGTTGCGCAGTTTGATCACATTATTGCCGTTCGTTTCCATTAAATTGCGGAGTAATGGATTCTTTGGAATGGGTGGTGCATTGGTTCACACTGCTTTGGACATGACTTCCTTAAGTTAGGTCCCTGGCCATATCTGTTCTACAAAGAGGAAGCATCGAAATGCTGGCGTGGTCCAGTGGCATCCACGACGTTAACCAAAATGGCATCTTGATGAGCCAACGCAGAGAAGAGAGCGGAGCAGAGGACACAACATGAGAGCATCGCTTGACCAGGTTTGGCCCCAGACCCAGCTCAAGTTGCCATTGTTGCAGTTTTGAAGCAGGATTTCACTGTGGCTGTGCTTCCGTTTTGGTAATAATGCTTCTGCTGAATCTGATGCGGTGGACGTTTGTGCTTGCGTTGTGTTCATGGCACCTTGTGGGTGACATTTGGTGTTTGTGAATGTCTTTATTATAGACGGTTGGCCTCGCCTTGGTAAATTGACTTTTACAGACGGACGTAGAGAATGCAGTTTCACTTATCACGCGTTGCCTTTTTATGATAATTTACATTTGTAGTGCTCTTAACATGTTCTCCCAGATAATGGTTTGGAGGAGTGAGGAATCGCAGACAAGCGGGAAGGCAGCCAGGCAGAGTTGGCACGCGTCGTCAATTGTCCAGTCTGTGGCCCTCCATATATTAATATTTTTTCAGCCAATTCGTTTTTATGCTTCTGGGAGGAAACTGGAGCATCCATTGAAAACCCACGTTCGAAAGGGGCACTCATGGAGATTGGTCTGTATTATTCTGCACTACATGATTCCTGTCTAGCCAAGGTATAGCGCATCGATGCCTGCTGGCGTCGGTGTATTACATTATTTGTGTGGTCCACCACCCTTCGCCTCCACAGTGCTTGATTAGAGGCATGCGTCACCAACGCTCGACTTTTTGTCAGCAACATTGTAGTTCGTCAGAAGGAGCTTCGTTATTTTGGAGTGGGAAGTGATTGATTTACACTTACAATTGTGGCCATGATCGATGAGGGGCATAGTATTGGCTGTTAAGAAAATGAGTTGGGCTTTGGAAGAAGGAACGTGATGGCTGGCGGTGGTCGGGAAAAGCGCGATGGAGGGGGGGCCGGTAAAGGAGAAAAAAACATGCCTGAGATTTTTCGATTTAAAGCTTTCGTGACTGCAGGGATTAATCTTCTTGGTTCTTTCGGTAAAGTCACGTAGAAGGGAAGTAATAAAATAATAAAAATAAAACATAAAATAATTATCACGAAGTTTTGGCCACAACGCAAGCAGCCGTCCTCAGGTGAAGAACAGGTATGTCGGAAAGACAGCATTCAGACGCTGTCTTTCCGACAGACCTTCACCTGAGGACGGCTGCTTGCGTTGTGGCCGAAACGTGAGAATTATTTTATAATGTTTTAATTTTTTATTTTATTATTTCCCTTCTACGTGACTTTACCGAAAGAACCAAGAAGATGAGCATGCCTGAGAGTTCATCCTTTGTGAAGATGGAGCAAGAAGTCGATTCGTGCCCAGGAGCCAGATAATTTTTTTTTTCTATGACTGAGAGTTTGCATTGCCTTGGAGTGGGGGGGGGAGCTTCATCGGGCAGTAGATTGGTCGAAGCTGATCGTGGCGATATTAACTATCACGAATGTTCATAATCAACGTTTTTGGGTTTAGATCGCGTTATTTATAAATGTGTCGTAACCCTCCACCACCCGACACGGCCAATCATTTAAAAATGTTGTGGTTTCACGCTTCAGCACACAGGTGGGCTAAAGCAGTGAACTATTTGTCTTTTGTCAACGTGACACTTTATTACTGATTGGCCGTGTGGGGTGGTGGAGGGTTACGACGCATTTATAAATAACGCGATCTAAACCCAAAAACGTTGATTATGAATAATATTGGTCGAGAAAGCCTACGTGTTAAACTATCACGAATATGTTGCATTCTATTTTTGGCGAGAATGTTATCACTTTATGATTAATGTTACGTAAATTTTTTTACAAATTCAAAGTAGTTC